AAGACCAAGTGCGACCAAGACAAGAGTACTTTGGAGACGGAGTGCAATATGAAGCTTGAGGAGCAGAAGAAGGAGGCCCAGAACCAACTTCAACAGTGCCGCCGGGAGGGTCAGAGTCATCTTGGAAATGGCGCATGGCCGAAGAACGAGGCGATGACCAATAAGAGACTTGCAGCCACTGCGCTCGCATACTCGCCCAGTGACCCCAATCAGCTGGTGACCGTCGACTTCGCCCGGAATATCGACATCCACGATGTGACGACGGCACAGACCAGGCGGTTGACCACAATGCAATCGAGCGACGGTGTCGCGACGAGCATTGCCTGGCACCCGGACGGCCAGTCGGTTCTGGTGGCATGTTACTATGGGGTCGTCAAGATCTATACCGTCGGACCACCGGGCACAACTCCCAGTATCTACACGTTACTGGACGAGAAGAAGGAGTCCAGGGGGATGAAGGTCACATTCTCGCCCGATGGAAACACGGCTGTCGCTGGCCTGGAAGACGGCCGCGTTCTTCTGTGGGATGTGGCGACTCGTACTCGACTGCCCCTCTCAGCACAAGACAAGCACTCCGCCGCGGTCAATGGTCTGGCCTTCTCCTCCAAGGACGGGACTTTGGTGACCGCGTCTTCTGATAAGACTATCAAGTTCTGGGCCGGGGGCAAAGTGACCCAGACACACCCTCTGAACGTCGAGGTTCGCAGCGTGGCCTTCTCCCCCAGCGGGGTCCACCTTGCCTGCGGCTTGCAAGACTCCAGTATCAAGATCCTAGACGCTGCGACCCGCACCCAGCGCCGGGACCTTCGGGCGCACGCCTCTGCGGTGGTGGACGTGGCATTCTCCGCCGACGGGAACGCACTGCTCTCTGCCTCCGAGGACCGAACTGTTCGCGTCTGGTCCTTGATTGGAGACTATGCGCAGGCCACGGATACAGACAAGAAGGCCCAAGCCATTGCTGTGTCACCGGGAGGAAATTCTCTCGCCGTACTGTTCGACATGCGGCCGGTGGTTTTCTACGCGAAGCCCTAAGCTCCACCGTAACAACGGTGATATCGAAGTGCAGTACACTAGGAGTTCACCCCGGGTAGCCAGCGGGGATTCCTCGGTGATTATTCATCTACGTCGAGGTTTACCGCTCAATTCGAAGATGTTAATGTTATAGTCCAATGTGATTTCATCGTTAACAAAGCTCCTTGGGAAGTGCTCCGGAGGCTGCACTTGTATAATCATGCAAGATGACGAGACCGAGGTGGTATCCTGATCTCGAGCTATACTCGACAGTAATGTAGTACAATCCACTCATCTCAATTCTAAGCAGGCAAATGGCTGGTTTTGCGTGATGAACTTAAGGCGTAGTACAACTGACTACCTAGGTACAATACATATTTGAGGGTCAAGGGCCTCCATCCTTGCGGTGCCCACCCACACTGGGAACACGCTTCTTCGATGACCAATTCAACTTTCTAGCGTGTGAACAAAATCACCATGACGACTATGATTATATAATTGAGTTTGATTATCCTGGAACCCACTGGTAGCTAGCCTAGTAGTGAAACTACAGCTCAACCTACTTTTGAGGGGGGCCCAAAATACGGCACCGCCTGTTGTCCAGAGGGGAGTGTCAAAACCCCACTCATTTGAGATCGACAAGACCGGAAAACCAGTTGATCAGCTAGAAGAAAAGACACGAAATCAGTTTTGTGGCGCAATTGAAGTTAGTCAGTATAACACCGCGTCAGGCTTACATTCGCTTTAAGTCTATCGGGGTTGCCTTTGTTCGCGTCATAGTCTTGATCGAAACGGTCTAGATGAGAGCCAGCGGTTAGCGGGAGGAATGCTTTCTCTCTTTCCTTCCATCCTTGCTTCGCACTTACCGGACGAAACATAGAGGGTGTTATTAGGCAAAGGGTTGTTGACCAGCCCATTCCGGAAGGCCTCGGCCGCCGCATCACTGCCAATCTGGCTGAAGGTAAACTTGACCGCTGTCCCACAGTGTAAGAATTAGCAGCTGCCACTTCTCGGGGTTCAATAAAAACAGGGCCACGGACCTGGAGGCGAGTATTTGTTTGTTTGCAGAAAGTTGGCGGCGCTGGCGACCTCGTTGCGGAAGGTATCGTTAGTATCAGGGGAATTGGGAGCTCCATCTCCGATAGTCAGGATGAGATACGGGGCGCTGAGGTCTTTCTTGCTGTTGATCACCTCGTACAGCAACGGGTTCAGGATTTTGGTCCGGAGATTGGTGCCCAAAGGCGTGCCCCCATTCGGACTGAGCTGGTTCATCTGCTCCTTGACCTGAGTCGAGGTCAGCTTGTCGGCATTGCCGACGTCCTTGTTTATAAAGCGGATACTCGTGGTTCCACGCCCGGCTTGGGCCTCAGGGTTCACCCAGTCGAGGATGTCCATGAGCTCCGAGACAAGGACTCTGGCTGCCTCGATCCGTGTCGTGCCACTCGCGTTTTGCCCTGCTAGCGCCCAATTCATCGATCCACTATCGTCGATATACAGGACGGGTGTGTACAGTTGCGCCACCGCCAAGGTCAGAAGGTTCTGAATGGTCGGAGCGGTGGTCTGCACGCCCAGACCACTGGTCTGGACAAAGAGACTTCGTGACTGGATCGATAGCCCCGTCGGCGCAATGGAGAGAGCTTTCGCCTCAGGCTTCTTTCGAAACGCCACTGTGGCCTCCGCAATGGCTTGAATGCGAGGGTCATTCGCCGGGTAGAAGTCCTCCAACCCTTGACGATCAATGTAATCCAACAGGAAGTTCTTAAAGTCTTCCACCGTGTGCAGATCAGGGGCACCCTGAACGTAATCAATTTAGCTCTACATGGCATCTCACTGGAATTCGCAAAGAAGAGGCTTGCTTACCTCATTCAGTTCGGTGTCCTTGTTCAGATACTGAGCAATCCGGTCCACCGCGTCTTTGGCTACATCCTTCCAGTCGCCAAAATACGCGGCGGCAAATACACCCGCACTGGTGAGGAGATTGCCCAACTCCGGCCTGTACGTCCTAGTCGGGTCTCCGTGGGGCACCAGGGCTCGCTGAATGGCGGGGTCCATCGAGTCGCGCGCCAGGGTTTTGGCGGATTCCCCGCGGGCATTGGTCTGGGTCAAGGAGGCCCCGGCCTCCACCAGCGCGTGGATCAGCTTGGGGTCCTTAGCCTGCGAGATGGCCACCATGAGCGGCGTCTCGTCACCGAAATTCGGCACCGACTCGTCGATCAGGGCTCCGGCGCCGATCAGCAGCTGGACAAGCCGCACCCTCTTCTGCTTCGGCGCCGCGGCCACGAGATACAAGGGAGACCGGCCGTCGATGTTGCGCTTGGACGGATTGGCGCCGAACTTCAGCAGAAGGCTGACGGCACTGGTGTGCCCGTTCTTGATAGCCAATGCCAGCGCCGTCTCTCCGTTTCCTGTGGTGTTGTTGATATTGGTCCCCTTGGCCAGGTACTCCTCCAGCTTTTGCCGGGTGAGAGACCCGTTGGATGCGTCGTTGTACAGACTCATTTTAGCAGGGCAAACGACCAGTACGGGAAAAGGAGTAGAGAATTTCGCGGTGCAGAATTATTCTTGGAGAAGGCCGTGGTTGACGTTGTTGTAGTACAAACATCAGGATCATATCTAGACTTATACCTGCTTACATATTGATTTACCGACCATCTTGATGCTTTTACCAACGCTTTGGGGTAGGTCGTGACGCACTCCATGCATACTACGATGCAACCCATGGATTTCCACAGCACGTCACAATACTGCGGGTGTAGCGAAGGCACGCCACCAGCACCGAAGACTAACAAGGTCTCGGAACGGCTGAGCGTATGCGCTATTTTTTAATGTCCGAATGCGATATACAGTTGCTGAACTCAATGTTCAACTGATCTTGGGTCTGGTTGCACTGACTCCACGGTCCGCACGACAGTCGAACCATGCATCCAATGTTACATTGGCTCGTTGCGATAATAGGCTTGGCCAGATCACACTGTCCTTTGTGTCGCCTTGAAACTCGTGAGATTATTGGATCACGCCCCTAAAAGGAACCATAAACCTTTTCTTGCCGGGTTTCGGGTGAAAGCCCTAACATCAAGCCCTGATGATGCTTCTCCGCCATCGAGACTTGTGAAAGTAAAGAGGGTGACGCTACTATTACAAGCATACGCGCTCGTTTTCTGCGTCAATTCTCATCATAGATCCGACGGTAAGGAGGCTTGGAAACACTCCTATCATATACCAATCGTCCCCCCCGCATGGCATACCCGCATTCAACTTAGGTGGCGAACGATTCAAATAGACCTGGTTCCTCATCTCCCTTCATCCCTCCGCTATTCAAACTCAGCCTCAGGTCTGAACGCACGGCCATGAAATCTTCCTTGCGCTGAATAGCCAGATCAGCCCACTTTTGAAGACCGCAGACCCGGACAGGCTGAATTTGACAATCAGCCTTTGTTGATAGGTCGCAACCAGTACAGGTACCAAGCAACCCCCAAAGTAGGATTTATTGTGAGGGACTATAACTAGCCCTCGAGCAATAAGTAGTCATGGGTGTGAGCGCAATACATCCAAATGAGCCAAAACTTCACATTGACCGTGAAAATCACAGCCAGCGCCAGCGACAGCGAACAGAAGCAACGCAGATCTACCGATAACAGCGCGCTGACCACAGCCACCCCAAATTGGAATTAGCACAGGTGTGGAAGGACGCTATTGAACTACCCTGGCAATTGGCCGCGTTGTAGAAGGTGCAGGTTGACCCGGCGTCAATCCAGGCCGCCGATATGCCCGTATAGCAATTGAAGCCTCAGAATACAGGAACATCGCCATTGATAATTTCTGTGCATGGTCAGCCACTATAGGAGTTGATGTGACGAATGAATCGAGAAGGTATGGTCAATGAACTTGTGTGTCACCCTATTTCGCAGATGTAGTGCCAGTTTCTTGCCCATCCAACGTTGAACAGCTGCCTACCCCGATAGCCCGAATGAATTATATACATTGGTGAAATCCTCCCCTGATGCATCAACCCTAAAAGACTGATCTCCATCCTGCCTCGCTGGATGGCTCGCTCAAGTCGCTCACATACACCCAAGACTGAGAGGATGGGCAACCCTGTTGGTCACACACTGTGGTCGTGCGTAGCGGTGGATCAAATCCTAGACGATAAAATAAACGGATTCTATGCTATCAAAATAAATCAAACCCTTTCTAGAAGAGCAGCAGTGGACAAGAAACAATGATTGATTAACCGCCGCTCAAAGAATCCATATACCAGTAGTAATAAGTACCATGCATTACCTCATTTCATTCTTTTCTTTTTTTAATCTATTTTCTCCAATTAAAAAAAAAGAAAAGAAAGGAGCACGATCAAGTGAGTATACCAATAACCACAAATGAAGTAGACTTGAGACCACTTATAGACGATGTTGATTTAAAATAAAAATTCCAACCAAAATTTCACAGTTTACAAAACATTTCACCAAGTATAGGAAATACACTATCATTTTAAACTCCACTATTGATATGGTTGATATCCGTAGAAGCTTTTCTAAGCTCACCACCGGTCTTCACGCCCTTTCAAGCAAGGCCCACATGACAAAACGATCAACAGGATCGTTTTCTACTCATCAATATCCACTACTAAGCATGCGCTCCGGAACACCGACCTTATCAAGCATGCCCAAAATGCTTATCAAGCACCGCCTTGGGAGTAGGCTTCAGAAATGATTTCAAGCCCGCGTCGGGATTGAGGTCTACCCGGACGTTGATAGGCTGCGTCGTCAGAGGCCAGACCTTTGAATGAGCGCTGGCATAACCCTAAATGCATTTCATGATAATCTATAAAGATGGTCGGGATGGCTGCCATGCATCGTGTCTCTATTTCATGAAAGGCGACTGAAGTTCTTCAGCTGGATACCGTCGATTATCCCATTCCTCCATCCCTAACCTGTCACAGTATCAACATGGCCACCGCCAGAAAAGTCTCGATCGTTGGAGTATGCTATCCAACCACCACCTTACCCACTCTGGAACCATCCCTGACCGTGCATTCGAGGCCACCGGCACTCTGGGCTCGCGCATCATCAGCTCTAGCAGCGGCAGGCCACGAAGTGACCGCGCTGCAGCGCAAAGATTCCAACAAACCCACCCTTGAAGAACTGAGTACCGTCAAGGTCGACTACCAGAGCCGCGACGAGCTCATCTCCAACCTCACCGGCCAGGATGTTGTCATCAGGTGAGTACATTAACCTCTCACCCCCGTCGAATCTACCGAGAAATCAAATTAAACCCCCCGCAGCGCTGTCCCCTTCCCCCAACTCGCCACGGAAAAAGCTATCATCGACGCCTGTATCACTGCGGGGATCAAGCGCTTCATCCCCTCGGAATTCACCACCATGCTGGAGTCCCCACTAGCCATCAATCTCCCCATCGCGAGAGAGAAGGTTCTCATCCGTCAATACCTGAACCGAGCCATGCCCACCACCGCAGGAACCACAACATGGACCTCGATCAACAACAGCGCCTTCTTCGACATGGCCCTGAAATACGGGGTGCTGGGCCCCAACCCGATGGCCAAGAAAGCCGTCTTTCACGACGGCGGCGACAAGCTCATCGCCGTGTCATTGCTCGCCGATATTGCATCGGCGGTAGTCCAGCTTCTGGAGCCGGCCACGTTCGAGCCCGCCGCTAACCAGGCGGTGTATATCTGCTCTGCCGCCGTGACGGAGCGGCAGCTCACCCGGCTGGTTGCGGAGGTGTTGGGGACGGAGTTTGGGACGCCGAAGGAGGTTTCGGTCAAGGAGCTGATCGCGGAGTCAGATAGGAAGTTGATGCAGGGGGATCAGTCGGTGATCATCAATTACTGTTTTCAGATGATGTATGGGGAGGGGTACAGGGGTGGGGATTTTATGGAGTTCAATTGGAATGAGCGGTTGGGGTTGAGGATTATGGGAGAGGAGGAGCTGAAGGAGACTATTCGGGAGATTTTAACGGAGTAGGGCAGCTAAATGGGTCTTTGCTTTGGCTTGTTAATTCGGGTGCTGTGCTCTACAGTACATTGCTTCCGTGTTTGTGTGATCAAATCTGGGCCTCGTCTATAGGTTAAAGATGTTGTACTGTACATAATTCTGGATCGCGGAGTGACTTGGTTTAATCCCCACGATACTGCAACACTCTAGTCAAAACAAGAAGAAACCAGGGTTCAAGTTAACAGAAGCTGATCCCTCCGTCTGGCGAGGACCTCCTCCCAATCCACCCCCTTCCTGCCAGCGAACCCGTCTCTGCCTCCCTCAGACGACGCTCCCACACTTCCTCCAGTATGGCCGGGCCAGCGCGATATTCTCGAACCGCCTCCAGCGAAGGTGGTGGTGGCGGTGGCAGAGAGGATAATGCTTTTGCACCGAGGAGATGGGCATACCATCCGGGCTGATTACCGAGACATACCTCCGAAGTCAGAAGGACAAGGCAGGTGGCTGCGTGGGTGCAGACATTGTCGTCCTGTGAGGGAGTGGACAGAGCTAGGGCTAGGTGGCCTAGGGCGGTGGATCGCGCTTCTAGGGCGGTGATGCGGTAGCGCTCGTCTGCTGCGGCAGCTAGATGGCCTGACGCCCAGGAGATCAATGCACCCGATAGAGCGGGCGAGACGATCGACATTGGGACGAATTCTGTGTTGGGAAGATAGCATCAGGTCAGTTGCGGTGTGGTTGATGAATTCTGGCGAGGGAGCAGCTCACCGGAAAGAAAGGAGTTGTACTGCTGGCTGACTGTTAACATCTGGGTCATAATGTTGATGTAGTACTTCATCGCGTACTGCCTCATAGACGTTCGATTTGTCTCTCGGATGGTAAAAGGGTGGTAATCGTGGAAGAAATGCACTGTATCCACTGTTCGGACGGAAGGCGCGGCGTTCGATTCACCGGGGTGAGTCCGCGGGTCAGGGGCAATTTGACGCTTGGGCTCTCTCACACATTCGTGATTGAGGCGGATGCAAGCTCCGCATTCAGGGAAGGTGTTCTCGATGCATTTCTTGTGTCTATGCGAGGATGAGTTTCGATGGTGAATTAGAATGAGTGAGGGGGGTATGCATACCTGTAACGGCATGTTAGACAGCCCGTTCGGTCGTGCTTGGAACCATTCCTTCCTCGAATTCTAGAGGTAATTATGTCAGACATGGGTTGCTTAGTACTAAGTATCTGATCTTATGTAGAGTGAGGATGAGTGTTGTGTTGATGCTTGGATTGGGGGACTGATAGGAGGCGGGGTTACAATAATGGCTATTCCTATCTCGGAAGTGGGTCGAATAACCGGATACAGTATACATACGTAGCCCTAGACCCGAATGCAATATGTGATACTCGTTACAGTAGCACCAGATACTCCATCTCATGGCGCGAGAATCACCACTTTCCCCGTATGACTCGAATTCCACAGATACTCATAGGCAATCCTAGCCTGTTCGAACTCAAAAACCTGGTCAATGACCGGCCGGATTGCATGCGCCTCGAAGCACGCGAGCATCTCCTGCAGCTGCTCGCGCGATCCCACCACCACGCCCCGCACGATGCAAACCCTATCCAGCGCCAGGAATGCTGCGTCCGGACCGCGCAACTCCTTGCCCTTCCCCAGGGGATCGGGGTTGGTAATGTGCCCGATGCAGTGAATCAGCCCGTGCAATGCGATCGCGTCGAACGACTGCTGCAGGGTCAGGGTGCCCTGTAGGAGGACAGTCTGCCCAGCGCGCAGGGGTACCAGCCCGTACAGCGCGTTCCAGGCCGTCAGTGCGGCGCAGGGCAGGCACGACGCCTCCTCGAAGCTCAGGTAATCCGGGATCCGGACCACCCCTAGCGTAGGGAACATGAAGTACTCGCCAAGCAGGCCTTGGATCTCACCCCCGAGCTGCGAGAGGAGGCCTGCTTTGGTCAGTCGCCCGGCGAGGTGGCCCTGCGTGAAATTGGCCAGGACGCGGTCGCCCACTTTCCATTCGGTGACGCCTTCGCCGATTTCGTCGGTGATGCCTCTTCCGCGGAGACGTTAGGGCTGTACTGTACAGATGTGTGAGAGAGAGAATGTATTTCCACCTGCGCCATCGTTTCCAGGCACAAGAGCATCGGGTCCGGGGAAGGATAGGTGCCTTTGGCAATGATTGCGTCGCGCCAGTTCAGTGACACGGCTTTGATGCGGACAAGAACCTGGCCGAACTTTGGGGAAACCTTGGGCACTTCGCGGACCACGAGACTATCGAAGCCCTTCTTCTGCGGCAGATAGTACTGTTTGAATGTAAGATTGGTAGCCATGCCGGCTTATCAAATGATAATACGCGACTGTTCTTCTTTCATACTGACGGATATGAGCATTCTGTAGAAGATATTACGGATTTTATATAGGTTGATCATCCTCCTTGGCGGTTGTGAAGGTAACTTAGTAAGTGGGACGGAAACGCCAGGCTCAAACACGCCAAAGACGTCGAAGACGCCGGATACGCCAATCCCGCCAGCCAATTAACAGTCTGTTCTTGTACCTGCATTAATTCGCCCTTTTACTCCTCAATGTTTTCTTGGAATGACAAATGCTGCCGACCAGTACAACTACAGAAAGTTACGACTGGAGGGAATCTCATCATTGGTCAAGTATGTTTGAATCCATGACTGTTAAGTGGCAGAAAACAACTCCTCCCAAACTCCCCGCCCCTAATCACTCCCCACTGGATTCACGATGTCCTCTGGACCCTAAAGTTGAACATGATTTCCTGCCTAGATAGTCTCGAGACGGACTAGGATGATCCTTATTAGAGATGATCATTGAGGACCACATTTGCCTTTTCCCATGTTGGCAGATCGAGATAGTGCACGTACTAAGAGACAGGGCAGGTTGACCGGAAAATGCTCAAACTTCAGACCTTCAAGGGAATGGAGCCAAGAGCACGGCAGCACAGGCAGACTGACAGCTTCCGAAGGCGCTATTTCAGGCCACAATTGAAGCTGGGATCGTGGCTCCAAGAGCAGCACCCCAGACGAAGCCCGCGGCAGAGTAGCATGCCATCACCACAGCCACACCACCTTCCTGGCAGACCCCGTAGGCTGCGGGTGTTGCGGAGGCATAGCTGAATGCAAGACCGAGTACGCTAAGAGCTTCATAGGACATCTTCTCGTGGTGGTTGTTCGCGATGTTGATGACTGTTGACGTAGTGTGACCGTGGGAGGGGACAGTAGGTAGTAGCTTCGCCAGTTGAGGGAAATACGAACGTTGGGAGGTGTAGATGTTGAGAGGAGTACAGCGAGCAATGGGACTGTATTTAAACTAGAGGTCTGTCGCGTAACAGCTTTGACTACCCACTACATGATTGTTTCATTCACTCAACTTCTAAAATACCTCTTCAATGGATCAATCATCGTGCTGGATGATGGAAGGGCTTTCCTTCATGCATTGCCAGCAGAGTAAGAAGACTGCCTATTAGTAGCACATATCACGTGAGCACACGAAGCAGGTTCGGATGCTTGCAGGAATCGCTCTGACACAATGCAAACAATGGCTGAGTGCCCTCCTCTCTCACGATTGTTTATTTGACTTCTACAGTTTAGGAGATTGGGACATCCTTTCATTCCGGCTTGAAATACCATATGAATGCTCTAAGCCATGCCCTTGGTCGATTCTACGGTGGCACAGGCTCTGATTTCAGGATCATCTAGTTGTCTGGCTACCTAACAGACTCTCTTGAAGCAGTCTTCTGCATTACCGACGAAGAGGTTGCAGCACACGGCATGTATGTCTCACTCGCTTTATCTCCACTGTCCAGAATCATGTGCTCTTCTCTTGTTTATGTAGACTGTGCCACCTTTCTTCCAGTCTAGTCACCATTTACCAATCAACCATGACGACGGATGTCTACCAGCGGCATGAATGGTGGGGCCGAACACTCCTGGGAGGTCACTTATTCAACACAAGCTACAGCCAAAGAAACGCAGCCACGGTTGTTCTTACTAGCTATGTCTTCCACAATAAGGCTATATAAAAATGATTGAAAAGCCCCCGCATTAAGTCAATCATATGAGGAAGATTCTCATTTTGCCGTTACGCCGCCGTCATCTCCCATCAACTATGTGCACGCCACCCGTGGTGAATCCAGGGCTCTCGTCAAGCAAGTAAGCCACCAGCCCTACCACCTCCTTCGTCGATCCCACCTTCTTCATAGGAATAGCGTCTACCAGAGTCTTCATCAGACTCTCGAGACCGCATTCTGCAACATAGGTGTACCAATCGGACCCCTGCCCGTCCTTGTCAGCAATCCAGTCTTATCAACATCGTAGTAAAAGCAAAAGCAAAGTATAGCAAGCAATCTGGCAACGAGAGAGGCGACACGATGGTCAAAGAGAAAAACTCACGGGCAAACCGCATTAACCCTAAGCCCATACGGCGCCGCATCCATCGCCGCTGAACACATGATTCCCAGCACCGCATGCTTGCACGTAGTATACGCCGACAGATTCGGCGCCCCCGTGACCGACGAAGTACTACCAAAAGACGATGACCGACCCCGTGGAAATCACCTGCCGACCAACCGCATCCACCATGTGCCTCAGCGCCGCGCGGACGAGGTTCAGCGTGCCCTGCACGTTGACCCGCTGGGCGAACTCCCAGCCCTCGTTCGTCACGTTCCAGATAGGTTGCTGGCCGGATTCCCGCGGGTGGGCGCCCGCGGTGTTGATTGCGCCGTCCAGGCGGCCGAAGTGGGTGCCGGTGGGCGCGGCGGGCCAGGATGTTCGTCTTGCCGATTATAGGCTCCAGTTCAGTGGTGAGGGCGTCGAGACCCGATTGGGAGAGGTCAGTGACTGCGAGGCGCGCGCCGAGCTGGGCGAGGTGAATTGCAATGGCGTGGCCCATGCCGGAGGCGGCACCGGTGATGGCGTAGACTTTATTTTGGTGGGAGGTCATACTCCTTTTCTTTAGCTCTACATAGGAAACGCGACCCCGGCCTTCCTACTGGGGATAATCCGTACTATGCGCGATCACTTCCATATTATCCATATTCTCCTTCAGCCCATCAACCTTGGCCCGCAACACCGCATAACAATCCGACCCCAGCGGCATCCGAAGATAAGACGCCGTTTCCGCGCAGAAACCCTGCTGCTCGACAGCGTCAAAGATCCGCGCCGCCGCCTTCTCCGGATCGCCCCGCTGGGTCCCGTCGACTGTGTCGTAGCGCTGCATCGCTTGGCCCAGCGCTTTGTCCTCATACGCCGGGTTCAATCCTGCTGCGGGTTTCACGTACGCGGAGAGAAATCCGGTCCGGAAGCCGCCAGGCTGGACAACCAACACTCGAATGCCAAATTCGGCCAACTCGGCTGCTAGACTTTCTGAAAGACCTGGGAGGATTGTGTCAGTAGGGTCAATGTATGCCTCAGGGTTGTGGCTCACCTTCGAGGCCGAACTTGCTGGCGGAATATAACGCGGTGGCGGGACGACCGATCAGCCCCGCGACGCTGGAGATGTTGACGATGCATCCGGCCTTCTTCTCGCGCATGAAGGGAAGACAGCCCTGGATGACGCGGATCGGACCGTAGAGGTTTGTGTCGATTTGCTGGTGGATTTCGGTCTCACTGCAGGCAAAGTCACAAATCAGCATGCTCATCCAGAATAGGAAGACATATAGGCAGGTTCGGCTTGTTGAGCACTTACTTCATATCTTCAAGACTACCCAAGATGGAGTACCCCGCGTTGTTCACCACCACGTCAAATCCCTCATGCTCGCGGGAGAGACGGGTGGCATGCTCTTTCGTTTTGGGATCCGTCACGTCAAGTGGTGCCCATGTGCCTCCCAGCTTCTCGAAATGAGGGTAGCTCTGCTGCGCCTTCGATACATTTCGCACCGCACCGACGACCTTGTGGCCTGCGCGGAGAACATGATGAGCGAGCGCGGCGCCGAGCCCGGACGATGCGCCGGTGATTAGCCAGGTTTTGCTCATGGTGGTGCTTAAGAAGTTGCACGGTTCCGAAATTCCAAAGATGAGCTGAGATTTTCCTAGCAGCAGATGGCAGGCTTTAATAACACTCTCGGTTGTACAGGTTCAACTCATGATCTCATGCGCCCGGGAAATGAAACCGAAGCCCCACACTCGGCAAGCCGGAACCACTTCAAAGGCTCTTGTCTAGTGGGTGCTCCACTATTTTGCTGGGCCAAGACGGAGATATCCCATGGACTTAGCGACAGGGTCATCATCGGTCGGCGTTAAGCTGTCATCACTGGTGGTGCTGCAACTCCTATATACTAGGTGGTTCCCGTGCAGAAGACGTTCAACATCAACTATCATAGATCATCCCACCGTTTACACTCGCCTCTGGAGATAGAAGAATTACTGATCATCTCCCGCCAACTTTGCCAACCAGAACAACTCAACTCCTCCAAAATGTCCTCGCCTCAACCTCCTCCACCTCCACCGCCCAACACCCGCCGCATCATAACCCACAACGCCTCCCGCACCGCCACCATCGCCATCAACGCCCCAAAAGAGCCCACCGCCCTCGCAGACGGCACATACCTCAACGCCCTCTGGTCGTCCACCGAGATCCCCGCCACGATCGACCAGGACCCAACCAAGATCCAACCCGAATCGACCGCCGCCACAAACAGCGGCTCCGTCTTCTGCACCTACGATCTGCCCCCGCGATACGAGGGGCCGATGCATCGCTCCGTCACCCTTGATTATGTCACCGTCACCCGGGGCGTGGTCACGCTGAGCACGGATGATGGGTCCACGGCGACGCTGCAGGCGGGCGATACGGTCGTGCAGAGGGGCACCATGCACAAGTGGGGGAATCCGTCGGATGAATGGGCTAGATTGACTTCGGTGATGGTGCAGGCGCGGCCGGTCGTGGTGGAGGGGGAGGAGATGGGGGCTGTGTGGCCATTTTAGTTTCTTTGGTATTGCAGGGGTGAGATGTGGTGTTCGATTTGTTAAGCGCAGCAGTTTGTGGGCTTGTACGGCTAAAATCACTGTGCTGGTGCGTTAATGTGTAGGAATCGATTTTTTCTGCTGCCGAGATGACCGGAGATAATCTACTTCCTTCCGTCTTCGTTCTTTTGTCTTGATCTTTTCAGTTAAGGCTGGAGGAGTCATGCCATACCTTTGCTTGGGGGAGCTCATTCATAAATACGGCCAAAGCTAACATCTCGCTCCCAGCAACCTGGCGCCGACCGGATAGGGTCCGTTCTGAGTTTGTGATGCGGCTCAGTGAGCGTCTCCCATCGCCTGAGATTCAGACCCTTGAGCTTGGTGAGGTAAATCGGCCGGAGTGAGTCGTCGCCTTCTTTTGTTCCCGCTGTCATTCGCTCCGGCATCTGCGGAAACAGGGGTTGTAGATCAACTGGCGAAGCGGCCGCATGCTGCCAGTCGATCACAGCTGTGATATTGTTGGTTGCTGGCTTTACGGATATATTGTCCAGGTGTAAATCAGGGTGTGACAGCTGGTTCAGACGTTCCTGGTCCATAGCATTGTGAGTCAAGTTGGGCACAAGCATATCGCTCGAGCAGGCCGAGGTACTCATCTGCAGTCTCTGGCTGCTCCTCTGATCGCCGGACATTCATTCTTGGCTGTGCGTGCGTCTGCGCCCATTGAATCTCGTTTCTCGCAATGGCTCTCGCATACTCGGCCATGTTCTTAACTGTTTATTTGCGTGTTGAAGGGCTGACATGATGTATTTACGAGAAAGAGTAGCTTACACGGCCCCCTCTGGAGGTCCAATCTTGCCTGTCCCGTTGGGCGGTGCCAATATTGTGGATTAGTCAACGGACCGAGGGCAAATCTGGGCCGACTTCTACCGTCTGGGGTTTGTACTGGAACAGAATTGGCGTGTTCTGAGTTTGATTCCAGCCTGACTGGAAGTATATGCATCCATGCCCCGGGAAAGTGACAGACGAAAGCCTCCGCTCGATGTCGACGATGTACGACCGAGCCGAAAACGGTAGCTTACTCCACAGGAGCCCTAACGGCTGTTCCAGAATGTACTCGGCCCCGACTGCATTTGTCTCATCTGCAGTCCACAGGTATATTCGCGGGACCGGGATAGCGAGATGGTCTCGGAGCTGTTGGATACATCATTAAGTAACTTGAAACCATGCGCCTTCAAGGGTTGGACACCCACAAACTGTCGCGTCGCCACTTCCGACGCGCTGGTGTAAAATTTCGGCCCTGCATTAGGGTTGTGCAGCTGAGCCACCACTTCCTGTCCATTGTCCATCGACAGGATCAACGACTTGTTGTATTGCCCTTCGATACATTTGATGACCTTGGTACCTGTGATAAACAATTAACTGTACTCCATGCCTGGTAAAATAGAGAGTCTCACAACTCGAAGCATAACTACCAGCAACTCCAATGGCGGCATCGATCAGTGCTGGGAGCCGGAACTTGCGGTACCGCGCAGCCAATTGCTCGGCGTCTTTGGCGCTGTGGAGCTATCAATAAGCAATTGGGTTTATAGTAGAGAGAGAAGAACGGACAGCCAGCGATACCGTTTGTATTAGTACAGCTCGGCTTCTTCGATGGGGACTTCTGCTCATAAAATCGATATTCATGATACAAGGTATGCGGATGGTTATGGCAGGGAATATCTTCGCCGTGCTCGAGTGCTCTCCATAGTGGTGGTGTTGTACAAGTACGGATGAAATGGCTCTTCCCTGCAAGAATGGGGGTTCTGAACAACTTCCACAGCATGGGAGAAGACGGGTGAGGAAGAACAACATTTTGGTAGTGGGTGCATCGGGTGGAACGTCAAACGTTCAATTAGCTGTGGTTCTTCACGTGGGACAGATACTGCTGGGGTAAGGTAAGATATGTGGGGCTGGATCTGCATCAGGGGGGTGAAAGCTCTCTCGAGGCGTCAAATATTTATACATGTTCAACACTGGCCGTGGCAGACATATGGGCTGAAGCTTGGCCTCTAGAATACATTAAGTTAAGAACAGATTATATCCATCCTTGCTCGACAAAGAGATAATATGAGCGCAGTGTTATACGGATCACAGGAGCATATGACAGAGAGTTCACGCTTCTTAGCTGGACCACTGTAGTCACCTAGCTGATATTGGCCACTTTGGAAAAGCATCGCAGCAGAACTATGTCCGGGGAGCAATCAGGCTCGACTCATTTCAAAGAGTCAATCAATGCGATTCAAAAGGGTTAGCCTGCGCATGTGATGTCAGCCCTAGTTGAAATAGTCCTTTGCCCCTCCTTCCAAGGCTGCCTCCCACCTGATCCTGTTTCTCTTTCTCCCACCGCGCTTCAGATGTCTCCCGCCGACTACAGCTTCGATCCAAGTGTCCTGCACGACTTCTACCATGCAGAAGAGCTACCCCCTCTCGGCTCCGAATCGACCTCCATCCCCCATCAACGTCAAGCTACGATCGCCCTGCTCCAGCCTTTCTGGAACACCAACATCCTCGAATCATGTCGCCAATCCCGTGCGACCACAAACACCGGGTTCCGCGACGCCAGATACGAGTATCTCAACCTCGATCCCCTTAGCAAAGCATGGAGACAGCAAATGATGAAGCTGCCCCTTTTCGCGCGGCTGGTATTCGATCTGACATTGCCTCCACGGGACACCTGCCATTCGCCAGAAATATACGGGGACCAGAAGATACCAGAGAAGGTCTGTTGTGTTGTGGAAACAAGGGACACTATGAATCTGGTTAGGTCGATCGCTTTAACTACAGTGATGCGGGCGAAGAGTAAAGTAGTATCTTTTGATGTTGTCTTTAACCAGGAGGATGGGCTGTTCGTCGAAGGTATAAAGATTTTGAAGGGCCAGCTTGTTGCACTGAGCCAGGCAAAAGGCACCGCGGAGGGGAATAAGCGAAAGAATGCCAACGCAGGTGTTGAGGTTGATGGATAAAACAAAGGAAAGGGGCCAAAATCTGTTACTCACTCCCCCTACTTCGATTATAGCTATAGGTACTGTGTTGGGATAGCATATGCCCAAAAATGGGCTATGGAGGTCTTGACTGGAATGTCCTGTGGTGCTGTTTGACACTTCCCCAGAATATGCAATGCGCCCTAATTTGATACTATATATCTGACAACACTCGATCATGGGTTATCCACAACTATCATTTATTGTTGAGAAAGGTACCGGCAAGACGTCACTCCTGCTACATGCCTTGCAAGCCACTAGGGGGCAACAGGCTAGCGATCCTGGAGGCGTCAGCGGAAGCGGCGGTCTTGCGACTGCGGCTGAGCAAGCCTCTAATAAGTTGCGGCCTCTGATGACACCTGCGAGAGAGGTGGAAGATGCTTGAATTCTCACTACGTGAGGCTATCAGCGGAACTAGCTAGCTAGGAACCACCGAGGTGGGCGGTGAGCGGCAGTCTGGGCGAGGCCGCAGGACCGCCGTCAGTTTCTGTCAGGGCTTGCAACCGGGTTATGCTTTAGCTAGTACTGTGATACTGAAATTATTGATATCTACATCCACCATGCAGCAACCAAGTCGCTATTCAAAATCTTTCTTCCCTTTCATGTACAGGTGAGGCAGCAAGGGTTCCAAGGTAGAAGAAATGTCAACCTCTGGTGGCATTTGTGTCCTCATCTGCCATTTGTTCTGCGTTGTATTTATCTTCGTGCTGGAGAAAAGCGTCCGAATAATTGTATTAGAGCACATGTACTAGATTCAATATATGTGTATAATGATTACAGTCCCCAGACCAGAAGACTCGCTCTCTCTCTCTGCGCATACTTTCCTCGATTGGTTTGAACCACAACAATTTGGGTCACCTTCAACAGTTGCACATACTTAAGACCATCACCGATTTCCTATTTCGAAGATCAGTCAAGCGGAATCCAGAGAGGCAAGAAAAAGCAATCTGCAAGGGAGCCTCTCCACGAGGGCGTGGCGGGATTTACCAGATCTTCGCCGGTGCGATCGCTTGCTGAGCAAATACGCCGTGATTATCTCCATTCCCAGACCAACGACCTCCCCTAGAAATTCCATGGACTCCGATTCGGCCCACCCATGCCGAGAGTTCTCAAGATAATCCGGGATCAATGACACAGCCAAATGTAAAGCGATGATAATACCCAGTTCAATTAAAACAATAGTGCGGATGCCGTAGAAATAGACTTGGATCCATATAACTGAAGAGGCTCTGGCTCCGTGATATAGACCTTTCAAAAAGGGGTCGAAGGTTGGGGATGGGGATAGCGCAAGAAAATATGGCTTGATGAGAGAAGTCATTGGTAGTATGGTAGTGCGTGTGAATAGCAAAATTGGTATGGAATGGTTGGAAAAAAGAGAGTCAGCTTCAAGTTCGCGCAACTTGGAAAGAGTCATCAACTGCAAGAACTAATGGTAGGGCACAGGAGTTTTTAGTTAACACGAACAGGCCATGAACAGGACTGAATGGTTTGGTTCATCCCTGAAGGCTTAGCGCGCACTGGGCTGGGTCAAGCGTGGGGTTGTGGGGATTTAAGATCCGTCAGGGAGAAACCCTGCAAATAGGCAGCTATCTGGCTATAGCCGAATATCCGAAGAAACACCTAGCTCCGCCAATGATGGAGACTTGCTCGGATCAATCCAGTTGTGGTTAAGGTGCATTCATGATTACAGTAAACCTATGTTACACTGACTATGTTCATTCACAACTGTCAATAGAGTCGTTATTTTGGATAGACTGTTTTCATATGATTCTATAAGTATCATTCGCCATTGAGCGTTGGATTATTCCTGGATAGGACGCGGTCTAAGAGAGGTAGGAGCTGTAGAACAATAATGGTGGCGAAAAAAGATAATTATTGCGCATTGAGCTTGATGTTGGAACCGGGCGGCCGATTGTTGTTGTCACATACGGATATCAGTCAATGGTTGCGGTAATATATAAACACAGGGTACGAACTATTGCTAAGATGATTCCACTTAGTCATGGGACCCTTAGATTTGGGGATCTACCTCAGATCTTACCTAGTAGGGAGATCTCTAGCTTCGGTGTATTATTCCTGATCCAGGTAATTTTGTGTTGCTAATTTTGAAGATAATGATATCCGATTCCATACACTTAAATCTAGGATATGGTCTGTCACGAGGTATCTAATGGGAGCCAAGGAGATGCGTGGCTTGAATCCTCTTGTTTTTCCCCAGGTAGCCTACTGTGCAGGCCTAGAATAGTAGGAAATGAAGATAAAGTGCATGGAGAACTTTTCGTGACTAGAAAGAGCACGTAAATCGAATTGAAGGTCAGGCATACACAACTGTACAACAATAGACGGAGTAGGCTAAATGAATTGCGTCGCCTCTTTCTTCTTCCGGAAGACGCAGCAACAGATGCGTACGAGCAAACAGAAGGCCTGCTTCACTTGTCTAGTAGTAGGTTCCATGGCAAAGGATAAGCCTAACATGAGACAGGCGAAAGATAACGACGTGACAGGCACAAAGTATGAATGATTGATCCGCGACCAAAAACAGGTTACTGTAAAACCGACAAGGTTGAGTCATGCTAAACACTCATTGATCAAGGGTTCGGCCCTCAGCTTGAGACTTTACATTCCGAGCACCGACTAGAGCCACCCTCTATGTAGAATGTCAACGTCTATCACCCTGCGGCCGCAGGATGTAAGTGCCTTTTCACGGCGTAGGCATTTTAGCGGTGTCTGAAAGCCCGTGCATTTCCAAAAGTTCCTTTGCATGCCGCGTGAAGAACAACAGCCGCTGGCGGTGGTGGTGCAGCTCGTCCAAGTCCACGTGGGTGCGGGCCTCGGCGTCGTTCTGACCATTGATGAGTATCAACATGAAGAACGTCTCGATGATGCTGGGCGGTACGTTGGAAATCAACTGTCCGGTTAGACTCCACTTCATAGCGCTGGACGCGACCACGCATCCGAGAGTGAGGAGAAGGCCTGCCATAACCATGAGAATATGGGAGGTAATCGCATCCATTCGGCGGGAGACTGTCTGGCTGAGAGACGGGCGTTGGGCTGCGGTGGGAGAGGTAGCAAGGGAGAGATCCGTCAGCAGCGCCGCATCTGCAATCAAAACCATACTCATCTGGCCTTTGATGTACTGGTGCACCTTGCTTTGGACATTACGAAGAACAAAGCTGTCAAATAGACCCACCAGGCCGGCATATGTTCCGATCAGGAGCCACCAGTTACTGTCATAGTGGAGGAGAGGGCCGACCGCAGCCCAGGCGATGATCACCAGCACGAGGAGCATGAGGCCCACCAGGGTTCCAACAATGTCCGCGTAGTAGAAGATCACCACCTGCAGGACATTCTCTTTGGGTGGGGGGTCAACCGCCACAGGATTAGGTAGATCATCCTTGGTCAAGCAGCGAAGCTGCATCTCGAGGCTCAAATCGAGACGGAAGATGGCGTCAAGAGAGGTGTTATTTGAATCTGCGTTGCGTTCTCGAAGGCAAGCGAGAAATGCAAACACCAGAATCATCATCGCTGATGTGGCATCGTTGATGTAGAGTTGCCACCGGTTGGACCAGCTGCAATGCGGACCGAAGCCCAGCCAAATCACGACACAGACGCAGAAGAGGAGAGAGCTGAGGACATGCCCGAACGCCCTGGCGGAATACATGATACCCCATGCCATGACACCCTGAGAGTCCAAACTGTAATCTATCGGCTCAAGAGGCTCCGTGTTGCACTTGTCGGCGACTCGACGGATACCGTCCTGTCCTAGCTTCCTCTTGACGTTGGCGAGCATGCGTTGATGACTGTGACTCCGGGACTGGAGCTCAACGATGGCTTCGCGCTGCTCGGAATACTGGCGCAGGAGCTGACGCATGATGAACGAATCGAAAACGTAACAAAGAATAGCTTGAACGTCGGAAATAGAAGCAATCCAGACGCTTGCGTTTCCAAAGCGAATTCCCAACATAGCCCACGTTAACAGACCGGCGAGGATTGTGAGAAAGACCGGTACAGATCCGGAAAAGCGGACCATGGCATCGAGGCAGCGATCAACGAGTCTTGGGCTCCGCCTAACTCGGAATTCAGAAACCTCATTAGTCGGAGTCGCGCTCATGTCTATCTTGGTATCTATCCCACCTCCCAGCCACTTGGTTTCAGCAATCCCCTCCACCTCGCATCGAAAGACAGGGGTAAAGTAGTTCATTTTGTTGTTTTGCTGGGAAATTACGGCGGATGAGTGAGATTTGCTGACTCGCAGAAGAACTGCAGTAGGGCCAGCACGCGTGGGATGGAGAGGATGATGGGCACGAGCGAGCTCATAGAGCGAGGATCAGCCATTCGGAGTTGATAGAAGCGGTAGCGAGTAGTATGATTTCAGAATCGCAGCAAGCAGCTGTTTGGAAGCAAGAGGGATGAGAATAGATAATGGCAGGAGGAGATGGAAGAACGACGGGAATAAGAGGTATATAGATGAGGGAGAGACGGCAATAGAGGGGAAAGAGAAACAAGACGCAAAAGTTTAAAGTCGGAAGAGATGCCGTTTTGGGTCGGCTTCAGCTACATCTCCGTTCCGGTCGGAGGGACTCAACAAGTGCTTTTCTCTTCAGCCAATCAATCAAGCTTCCTTGGCGTGGCTTGAAGTGACCGGAATCCCTGGGTCGGGTCGTCCCAGGTTTGCTGCGTCAATTCTCTGAATGCGTCGAATCAATGTAGTTGCCTGGAGAGGCCCCACAAACAGTTGAGTTTTCCGGCCCTACTTGCCTACAGTACAAAGTATGAACACAAATATAAGATCAACCTTACGCACCACTCCTACTCGCATAGATGTTCAAATGGTTTGGCGTAAGTCAAGCAAGCATTTACTATCCTGTCTTGTAATCCATGTTCAGAGCCAAACTGCTCCCAGAGAGCCTCAGCACATGCTGAAGAGCTCTTCGTGTCCACTGGGCAGACTCCAAGCTCACCTGCTCCAACACTCTCGGGTTGTGTTGCAGCGCGGAGAAGGCAACATTTAGCGGCCACACAATCGCCCGTCCGCGCATCGACAGCCCTTCTTCCGCGTCGTTTCTGCCACCACTGCCACTAATTACAGCGTGGGTGCTCCGGCAGATGTGTCGGATCATCTCCACAATAGTGCGCTCCGCATCCTCGTTATCACCGCGACACAGCAGTATATTTTGACAAATCACAATCCTCGTTGCGAAGCAGAAAGTGCGGGGCACGGCATTCCAGCTGGTCTCGTAGACGTAGACCCGGGACGGGGCGCCGGGCCATTGCAGGATTTGCGAATCGTCGGCCCTGACCTCCCGCTCGGAGAAGTGAGAGCTTAGGGGGAGTTGGGCTTCCCACGCTTCCAGTGCATGATTGGCCGCGAGTAATTTGTCGACCATGTCAGCCGTAGCGTGGTGGTTGGAGTAAACAATGTACGAGTCAATCTCGGCTTGCCACTGTGCGAGCCGATACATGGTACAGAAAAGACGGGCGGCTGAGAATTCCGGGTCCATGACCGCTGTCCACCATTGTAATGGAAGCTGCGGCTGTGATCGTTGGTTTAAGCAGTTTATTACCATTAGCAAGTACTGATATTTGAGAAGATAAGGATTAATGCTGGCCGCCGAGGTGGGAGAGGCGATTTGCTGTCGGACCATGGAAATAGCTCCGTGCTGGTGGGCCGCATGCCAGGATTCCACTGGGGCCGGACTGGGGAGGATCGAGTCGAAAAGCCCCATTAGCGCAACCGAGACAACAGTCTCCGTGCTTGGAATCCCGTGACTTCGCTGCAGTTGGAGCCGGATTTGAGTAATGGCTTGGGAATACTCGGTCCGCGCCATAATCTCCAACTGTGGGACAGACTGCTGCTGCTGACGCGAATGGTGGGCCAGAGCTAGGGCCCGGATCGCCTGGCGGGTGGGGGAGGAGGGATGCCTGGCTGATCGGCGATAAAGGGTGGGTAGCATCTGGAAGAATTCAATCCAAGGGTTGGAGACCTTGGCGCTGCAGTCGAAATCTCGGTAGAATGCCGCTAGAATCTGGTCTTGAAGATCCTCCAAGGTGCGACTTGGAGCGCTGCATCCATGTAACAGTCTTGCCGCCTGAGTCCGTGTCCGCCAGAGAGCAGCGGTGCGGGCTGCTGCTTTGCTGTTCTCATCGCGAAAATCGAGCTCTAGGGCATCAGGATAGCTACACTCGGTGCCCCGACGGGCGCAGCGACTACACTGCGGATGCACTTCATTGCACTTGATTATTCTTATTAGTGTCTTATTCGGAGAATCACGACTCAGGGATGATGAAGAAAGCAATGATCTACCTTCACTTTCGAGCGACGGCACATGAGACAGCCTTTGCTGCGGGGGCTGCGCGCCGTGACACTTGCCTTGATGTGCATCTTGACCTGGTAAGACTTTTTCATACGATTTGTAGTAACGACCGCCGACAGACTTGACCCTGAAATTCTGTCACCCAACACCAGACTAAGCTGGGCACATGGCCAAGGCAGGGGCAGGGGTTTTATGGTTCATAATCTGCACGTCCGCCCCGCCCCGCTGTGGAGTCCAAAACGTGCTCCGGCGATTCTGATGATCTCGACGTTTTGCAGGGAAGGCTGTCGGCCGAATTCCAGGCCAATAGCAAGGCTTGCGGATATTACCGTCGCATCGCCTTCCGCAATTTGCCTAGTGGCAGGTCACTCGAGCCGCAGACTGTGGGTCTGAATGCTTAACTTCTCGTGTGCGTTGAGCCGCTTCGGCGATAAGCCAATACATTCGCATCTCCCGCGCACCATGACTCAATTCTTCATTTGTCGCCGCTCTGGTATTAGTCAGGGCTGGGATGGTGTGTACAACGAACGGAAATTAACCGCAGTTTCTTACTAAACATCAAGAATCCAACAAATCGGGTAACCACTACCTTGGGCCATCATCTTCCGCTCCTTTTAACATCTTGGGCGGAAGGCATGCAGTATCCATTCTCAGTACGAGTGGAAGTTTGAAGTGGTTGACACATTAGGAGAAGGAGACGAACAATGTCCGAGGTGAAAGGTACACTGAGGGCACAGACAAGAAAATTCCTAGGTACCACAACAAAAAACACAATATACGCAGCATGTCCGCCCCGGTGTCACCTCATCTGCCCATTAGACTACTATCCATATCTGCCAAGTACCCTTTTATGTAGATGGATACTGAGATAAAGACAGGACATATAACGAGGTTAACCGCGATCGCATGGATTGCGATTGAAGTGGTAGGAGGTATTTGTATTGTACTGTACTATACTGTGCCAATCGTGGATGGAAACTCCAGTACGGAGTAACTACAACTCACCCCTAGATAACGGATAAACGGCCGGACCGGTATTTTTGGCAAGGAAAGGGTCCGGGGTCTTTTCCGACGCTGCTTCCCCAACATTGAAAGGCTCGATGCGAATCCTTGGTGATACTCTGAATAGTGTCGTTGACCCTGAAGACTATTTAGAATTTATACGCCCCTTTGCCACACAGGTCCAAGATCGTTTCCATGAAGACAATGCAGACAATAAGACTTATTTCCTCGCAGTCAATATCTACCCCGGCAAACACTCGTATCTTGTGGTTGATCTCAATCATACCAATTATGACTATCAGACTGCTCACGAGTGCAAGCCCTCGATACCCGTATACATCCTTTGCCTATCGAAACGGACCCCCAGGATCGACAGAAAACGACAACTGGATGGACCCATTGCCAAAACTCTCAGGATCATGCACAATGGCCATGGTCAAGACCCTCTGCCTTTGTTCGACAATTATTGTGACCAGAATCGACAGGAAGGCAACCCACGCAGCCTTCAACGTTGCAGCCTTTAACGTTGAATTCTACGTTGGCTGCTTAGTCCGGAGGTTCCTCAAGTTCTCTCTGTTGGGTCACGACTGGCACGCGGACCAAATCAGAACCCATCGCATCTATCATATTGTTGCGACTGTCCTTTACGGTCATAAGGTAGAATAGATGTGTCCAGCAGGAATTCCTTACCTACACGCTTGGGCGTCAAGCCTTATCTATATCAAGAAATCGTAATCACTCTTTCAGTCTTTTATGCTTACCTCTCATCTGCACACTTTCTTTGTAGGCTCGAAACCAGAACCTACGAATTGAACGAGGTCTGCTTACGTAGGTACTTCTCGATATCGGCTCCGAAGATATCATATCACGGAATATATATTCCGGTTTGAGTCTCAATGATAAGGACTAGTTCATCAGTGGTACCACAGGCCACGATTCTCCAACTTTGAGGTCCCCGGCTCTCATGTTTTCTCGGCGGTGCTTGCGACTACGTATACTTGTGCCGGCAAGCTAATCGGACCAGATTGCAAAAGAGCCCAATTGCCCTGGAATCTTTCTCCTCTAGAGTCTTACCGCGTATCGGACCGCTTTTGTCTGACATGACCCTGATGTCAGACAAATATATATAAGTATCTCGTCATGAGGCGCCTAATAACGTGTCTTGTCGTTAAGTTCGAGTGCACCATAAGAATACTTGTAATCCTCACAGAAAATGTAGTCGAATGACATTTTTTTTCAAGTGTAAACGCGGGGCCTTGTTTTGGGGATGGTTGCGTGTCCTTAATAAGAATCCCGGATGGATATGAGGGTGCCTCTACCGGTGCTTAGAAATGGCTGGCAAGTAGTGACCCATACTTCCGGCAATCAAGGCAATTACACCTTAGTGAACCCTGGTTGAGACAGACTTTTTTTCGCTCTAACTCTTTCATCGCAGCACCACGTCTGGCATTACGAATGTTGGTGCATGCGCTAGATGGCCATACGGAAAGGAAGGTGAATTCCGTGACACGCAGTCGATGGCTCTTATCTGGCTTTACATCTTATCAACCATGGAATTGGGCCCTATGAGAGCCATCAGCTCGCATAGTTGAAGGTACCGATGATTCAATCTTATCAGTACCGGGATAGGTTGCTCTATAGAACAAAGAACAAAACCTTTTGGCGGGAAGTAAGAGGAAGGAACGCCCTTAATATTTGGTCCATCGCTCCTAGACAATAGCATATGAAAACCTTCAGGTCTTTGGTATCAAATCCTCATCCACCAAACAAGCTCTGGCAGGCTGACAAGTGCTCGAATCTCATTTGCATCGACTATCCGTGTCCTATCCCTGAACATGATGGGGCCTCGATTTCGACGGCTTCTAACATTATTCATCTTGATGGCCGGGGGTTTGTTGACACTCCCGCATTTCCATCCCCCAGTACTTGCAGAGTTTGATTCTAACAATATCACATTTTGCGTTTATAGCCAGCATCGTTGGGTATGACTCGGGATATTTGAACGGGGTCCTCGGATCACCCAATTTCATCAAGCGATATGGAGTGACGGTGAACGGTTCCACCTATTTGACCGCGAGCACTCGCAGCTTGTTCACTTCGTTTCAGGTTGTCGGGACGTTGATAGGGTGTCTCATTTGCGATCCAATCATAAATAGGTGTAAGTGTCTCAATCTCAACGCGTACCGCTCATTCAGGTGATCCTGCCTCTAACCCTCGCTCGATAGGGGGCAATAGGGGCAGCCTGGGAGCTGGCTCCGCTGTTTATGCGCTAGGAGTCACCTTGCAGGCCGCAGGCCTCCCCGCACCGGTCTTCATTGTCGGCCGTGTCTGCATGGGCATGGCGCTGGCACTCGCCTCGAGTATCGTATGTGCCCGCCTGCACGATTTGTGCCCCATTCTGTATCGCTCATGTTCCCGTCCTTCCCGGCACAGATCCCCCAGTATCTGGTTGAGATCTCCTCCGGCACGAACCGAGGACGGATGTTTGCCTTCTACCTCATGTTTCTGACCTCGGGCAACGTCCTGGCCTGCGGGATTAGTATGGGGACCTCGCACTTTATCGACTCCCGAGGATGGCGTGCGTAACAGCCTCCCTACCCCTGTCTCTCTTACATTCACTTCTGGCTGATCACGGGGCCCTCCCAACAGGGATCACAATCTGTTTTCAGCTGCTCATAGCCGCCTGCATTGGGCTGAGCGCGCCCATCTGCCCAGATGCGCCCACCCTCCTTCTTCGCCGTAACGACCTTGTTGGGGCGCGGCGTGCGCTCGCAATGTTACAGGCGCGGCCGGCCGACTCGCCCGAGATCGATAACGCGGTGACTGCGATGCAGGCGACGCTGGCCATGACGAGCGGACAAGTGGAGGAGCCGTCTACGCTGCAGCGGTTCCGCGAGTGTTTCCGGGGCACAAATCGGCGGCGGACGCCGCTGGGGATTAGCACGGCGGGGCTGACGATTCTCACGGGGACGACTTTCTGGTTCAACTACGGAACCACCTTCTTCGAGGCGGCCGGGGTGACCAACTCGTACTTGATCTCGCTGGTGCTGGCGCTGATCAACTTTGTCTGCTCCGCGCCGGCGACCTACCTCATGGAGCGGGTCGGCCGCCGCCTGTGTCTGATGGTGGGCGCCGCCGGGATCGCCGTCACGCAGCTGCTTAGCGGGATTATCCATGACGTCGCCCCGAACACTGTGCATGATAAGCATATGCTGGTCGCTGGCTCGATTCTCTTCATCGCCATTTTCGCGCCAGCGTGGGGTATGGGAGGTAAGTCAAGTCGTCTCCATCCCTTTTCCCCCTCATCACCCTCCACCCGCTGATGGAAGGTGCATCACGCTGACTATGTGGGAAATAATAGGATGGGTCGCCATGACCGAAGCCTTCTCAGTCCGCCTCCGCCTGGAGCAGTCCGCGATCACGATGATCGTTTACTGGGTCGCCACCTGGTTCATCGGCTTCACTGTTCCCTACCTGGTCGATGCCACCGAGGCCAACCTTGGCGCCGAAGTCTGCTAACTCTGGGCCGCCACCTGCACGGCGTGTTTCCTATGGACGCACTTCTTTGTGCCGGAGCTGGCGGGGCTCTCGGTGTCTGATGTGAGATTTCCTCCCTTTTCTTTGATGTATTCTAGTAAGATAGCCTATGCTGACATTTGCGCTTTTGTTTATAGATGGATGCACTCTTCCATGAAAAGATCCCGGCTTGGAAGTCGAAGCAGGGGGCTCGACAGCGGCGGCTCCAGGTTCTCGACGGCGCAGCGCCGGCTGCAGAGGGGGAGGAACATACTTCTTCTGGGCTGGATGAGGAAGGCCTTTCTGAACAGACGGGCCGGGTGGAAGTTAAGGTCTTGGGTTGAGTTCTGATCTCATTGGGGTCGGTGATCGGAATTTCGCGTCTAGGGCATGATCGGGTACGGTTGCCGTCACGGGTTACTAGATTTTCGCGGAGGGAGACTACCAAGAGTAATTAAAATAGGCTCCTTCGGTGCCACATTCAGCCATCTGAACCCATGTGGAAACCTAGAAACACTCAAGCGTGAAACGACATTACAACACGACAACATACACTCGTTATTACTCTTGTTTCCTTGCTTGTTATGTTCTACTGCTAAGTCAACCAACCCGTGACCGATGGGCGAGAGCGGAAGATACTTTGATTGTTGTATCCAAGGAATTGCTCTCAGTGCGATTGGACCGAGAGATATCTTGAGATCGGATCTACCTTTTAGGGTAGAAAGACCTGTTGAATAAGTAAGAAAGAAATGCACGGGGAATGTTTATAACAAGGGGCTTTCTAAGAGACCAATTTAGCCCGCTCTCTACTGCAAATCTTTGATGTACACCAATCATCTGTCAATGGAGGACAGCACTGCGATCAATCCACTGCAGAGGAAGGAGCAGGCCCAACGCACTATCAGAAACACAACAGCGGTCATTTGTCTTTAGACTTGGATTTTCAGGCAACTGCACCATGGCCCGGACGTTTCCAGCTGGTCTCGGTTGTCAGAAGCATTAAAAAAACACAATCCTTGGTCATCTACTTCCGCCCTGGCTCTAAGCAGTTACACTACTTCTCGCTGTAACTGGAACACTACCCTTCCGTTGTCGAGCGACGAAACCTGTCTTATGGAAAGCGGAACTAAGCAGGAAGAGAAAAGCTTTTCCCACTCTTCCATTGTTCGGAATGGCCGTCCAAAAGCCGCTATCAGATGTAAGTTGAGAATATTTGCCTTGGAATATAGCGTGCCATTCTTGCCAGGATCCAGAAAGTCGTCCACTAACAAAACTGATTTGCTCGGTGTCATAGCTTCCGCAAGATGCTGGATGATCTTCCGGCACTCACTAAGATCTGTCAGCATATTGATGTTCCACGTGCAGAACACAACGAATCCTCTGGCGAACCTATCTGTGTGATCCATAAGGATGTGGCTGAGTAAATAGAGACTGGCTCCTCTGACCGGTTGTTTCTCAAAAAAGTCATGCTGCTGCCAGGTAACTCTCGACATTGCTTCTGCAATTGCTGGCTCCTCTATTATTGTTGGCTTCTTACACATGAAGTCCTGGACAGTGAACGAAATCCGAGGAAACTGCATCGCAAGGCGGATAGAATGGTGGCCTCTACCACCTCCAACGTCTACCAGAGTAGCGCCGGGACGTAAGTTGTCGAAATTGAAAATGTCTTCAATCGGAGCCTGCGTGGACCGGTGAAAATACCTCTCCATTGCGCTGTCAAAACGCCGGCCTCGCTCCTTGTCAGTAGAGTGGTAGTACTCATAAAAGGTCTCGGACGCTGGAAGTGTCAGTTTACCCGTAGATGCTTCAGGGATCTAACGCATACTCTGAAAGGCCATCTCAAATGCCGTTTTGTGCTTCCCATCCGGGATTTTAAAAGAGTTTTTTTGGGCGTAAACAGAGAGATAAGATCCCATTTTCAGGCCGTCGTCGACACTGAGTCCCCATCAATATCCTGCCTCCCAAGAAGCACTAGGCTCTTACAGGTAGTGTATCCATGCGCGAAAGTTCTCGTTCAACAAACATGTTGATTTTCCATTCAATGCATATGTCTCCTTCGAAGGCTCGTCCAAAATCCGGTTCTCAACGCACAGTGTCATGACACTTCCTGTTCCGCGTCAGCTTTCTATTACTTCCATGTATAGGATTCCCTTACGCAGTAGCGACGGTGCAGCTCCCGTCGCTTCTATCAAAGCGTCGAGAGAAGCTGAGCGATTCTGTGAAAGCAACCTTGGGATTTCGAGATCAAGCGCCAAACAGATGGCAGCGCTGTTATTGTATGACCCCGCGACTGTGTTCACCCAATTCTCAGGAGCAGTCACCAACGCACCGAGGTCCCTACAAGCCGCAGAGATCGCTGATGATTCATGCTCAGTACTCGCACCCAAGCCTTGTTTCTGGTTGTAGGACTCAGAGTAACTGGATATAAGTTCTGCGAGGCTTTTCACGGTGCTGGCTTTATCCGACATGTTAAGGTTGCTTCACTTCTACTGTCTGTCATAGACTTGAGAGAAGAGGGGGACTGGGAAGCAAATCATTGCATAGAGTAGTTCAACCTCGACATATTATACATAAAGGAGCTATGCTTATTATGTATCATGTCCGCCAAATTCCGTCATTAGGTGACTATATAGCTCATTGAGACGCTCAGGATGCAATAATACAAATGCCGAAATTAGTTGGTAAAGGGATCGACGCGAGATACCGGATTTTTCCGATTGCCACAGCTAGTGAAAATCCACTCCTGCGTCATCTTGAATCGTAGATGCTTCGACATATTCTGCAGGAATATGACCACGTAGCCGATGCAGACGCTAAACATGCTACCTTACGTCACAGTCTGCAGAGTTGAGTCGTGTGAGGAAAATAAACGCACTATAGCATTGTTAGTATCGTCATCAGCGTCGGGTATTAAAGGTTATTACATGCTACAGATCCTGTTGAAGGCCACTGAAAGAGTCCAACGCTGTCCATCACATAAAAGGTCCTTACAGCTGAGCTTTCAGATCACCACGTCAAACCATTATGTCTGCACGCATTAAGGATTTTCCAGGGTGGGAACCCAAGCACGATCTTTCAGGATTTATGAGCAGTGAAAGTGGAAAGTTTATGATTCAATACACAAGGATCACTGCGGACGAAATTGAGAGTCACATCAGAATCATTGTACGCTTGTCTCGGAAGCCTATCGTCCAAGTACGCTGACATGAAGAAGGCTGAACGTGGTTGGAACTTGCTCCAATACCCATGCTTTGGCATGTTTTGGTTTTTGCATTTCGACCTGGCCAAGTCTCCAATTTACCAGGAGATCTTGTCCAATGTTCAAGATGGAACTTTACTACTCGACCTGGGCTGTGGCTTGGGTCAGGACATTCGTCGCCTTGTGTATGACGGTGCTCCCCAGGACAATATCATTGGACTTGATCTCCACAGGGGGTTTATCGACCTCGGCTTCGAGCTTTTCAATGACCGGAACACCTTGCGCTCGGCGTTCGTTGTCCAGGATTTCTTTGAAAGATCTCAGATTCCACAATCTCAGGCATCTCGCATCAGAATTATCAATTCCGGCTATTTTATGCACCTCTGGGACTGGGATGGGCAAATAAAAGTGGCCAAACACATGATAAGCCTTCTGTCCCTTGAAGAGGACGGGATAGTGACTGGCATGCACTTTGGCAGTAAGCAAACGGGGGTCTGGGAAAAGGTCCCAGCTGATAATGATCCCATATTCTTACACGACCCGGTGTCATTTAAGAGTCTTTGGCAACAAGTGGGAAGTGAAACGGAAACCAAGCTGGATGTCTGGTCATCGATAGAGCAAGATGAAGACCATATGAGATTGGATCCCAATGGCCTGCGTCTTCGTTGGTACGTGAGAGTATTTAGACATTAATCGGTGCGCAATAACGGAGGGTTTCATGGCGTATTTCAGTTTTTGTCTATTGCCCCACATGAAGTATGTGAGGTATCCTAGATGTTCCTCATAACCAACATAACGAAGAATAAATTAAGGAACAGGGTTCTTGCTTGTAGTTCTGGCAGCTCCTTTCCCTGTGACGGTCCTGAGGCACGGATACCTTGTCCAACCACTTGTCAGGGGTCATATAATTTCTAAGCTAGAATCGGAGTCGGGGCTGTGATCTCTGCGCTAGTGCTGAAAGGTGATTTGGAATGGTGGATCACCGATGATGCATCTCAAGTCTCCACTGCCACATCACTGCAGTAGCACAGTGTGATGAGTCTGTACTGAGTAGTCTAGTTCGCATGAGTGAAGCAGTCCAATGATCGTGCGCCACAACAGCAGCCGATCGCTCCTCAGCTCGAGCTCCACTGGATACACTGGCATTGGCGTCTGATGTGGAAAGCCTGGAAATCCCGGTCAACTTCGTCAACTCTAAGTGCCGCCTGCGTCAATCATGGGGAACCCGGCATCCAAGATGTCAGGCCCTCGTCTGGCAGCTGTTGAAAATTATTCTTGGGGTTTTTCTCAAGCAAGAGTTAGGGCGACCGGGCCACACATCTGCCACAAGCAGACGAGCAGCTCGTTAACGCCACCCATGAAGACTCTTAAGCCATGCAACTCGGGAAGACCAGCTCACAACGCCGCTCTCGTCCATTTCACAGCAAACAGTTTACATCACAGGGAACGATCCGCCCGGTGAAAAGGGCACCGGCCTTGAAAGTCTGTGGCGAGAGGCATATAAGCAGCTCAAGCGCGGACCCAAACACCGCCAAGTTGATCAAAGCTTATCAGCTCGCCTTTTGGAAGACGATAGAGAGGACAAAGTCTCCGAGCAAGAGGATTTTGACATCAGTGCACGTCTTCACTCGGTGGTTGAGCAAAGATTCGCAGACATACAAAATTCTCAAACCAGAATTCATCTCGGAGGAAAGGAGATTATTGTCAAAGATCGGGCTTGGTGGCAGCTTTTTTTTCGACAAAAATGAGAGCCAGCAAAGTAATGCCACCTATCTCTTTCCCACTCTTTACCAACCGCTTGCGAATTGTCTGCCCGAGCTCAAGTTTGGAATCTGAAGGTCTACTGAAGAGCATCCGGAGGCAAGGCATGAATATGCCTCGGTCCGGATGCAGTGGAAGAATTTGATTTTAGAGCTCTTGATGAGTTTGGAAAGGAAGAATTGCCTTTTGCCTGTCACGTTGGGTTGTGATCATAGATGCACGTGATGAGTGTCAGCCTACGCATCACGAAGATCCCGTCTGCATTATATAAGCCCTGATCAACGAAGCGCATCAATTGAGCTCGATTCGAATGAAGTTTATCCTCACCAGCCGCCCTGACAGCTACATCTTCTCGAATTTCGACCTCATTGTACCTGAGTCCCACGGTTGGAAACAAGCACTCCAGGGTGCAGAATCACCTCCCCACCAGGAAATGTCTCACCATGACATCAGAATGGTTCTTGATCATAAGCTTCGCGAAGTAGCCGATCATCATCATTTTGGTCCAGACTGGCCGGAGAAGGAAAAGTTGGATGCGCTTGTTAAGAAGGCTGATGGGCCGTGGATTTATGCTTCAACGGCTTGTGGCTTCATATGTGATAAAAGGGCAAAGAAGGAGTGGGTGAAACAATGCTTAGATCTCCTTATAAAGGATGACAGACACCCACATGAGAGACTGGATGGGATATATACGGATGTATTGCGGGATGTCCTTGAGGTTGCGACCCCCGAGGAATAAGAGGATTAAAGAGCTACCCGCTGCATTTCCAGGCGATTGTTGGGGCTATCGTCGTACTTTTCCACCCTCTATCCATCACTGCGCTGGGTAGGCTTGATCTCAGAGATGTGCACAAGGTCAAAAGTATGCTAGAAAGCCTAAGGTCGGTCAATCATGTAGACACCAGCGATGATTCACCCATTCGTTTCGCGCACCTGTCCTTCCCTGAATTCCTCACAAGCATGGAGAGATGTTTAGAACCAACCTTCTAAATCACGAGGAAATTGAAGCATAGCCACCTCCTCAGCCACTGGCTCGAGACTCTAACAAAGGATGTCACTAGTCGATCCCTGGTGCAAAGTCATCTTGGCTGCGCCGGCGTTGTCTCTGACCTTGCCTTTTCAAGTGATGGGACTCTCCGGGCATCTCTTACCCAACCTAGTATCCGCTTGTAGGATCTAACTGGCCCTCTGGTCAGCGAGCACAACGAACAGTTTCCTGGAAACAATTTAAAGCAATTGGATCCATTTCCTGATCACAAGACTCTTGTGGTCACTGGGAGATATTCGAAGTGGCTTTGGGACTTTAGACAAACGCGAACAAAGAGGGGCGAGCAGAAGGTCTGCATATCGACGGCTCGAAGACACTTTTCTCTCCGGATGGGCAATTATTCGTAAACTGCGAGGAGGGGACAGAAGATGTATACAACACGGAGACTCTAGAACTCTTATACAGCCTGAAGAGGGGAGGTTATCACAGCTGCGTGCTTACATTCAGCCCAGACAGCAAACTCTGCGCCGACGCAGCCCCAGACATGGAATCTCTGACAAAAGCCAGTGTTACCTTATCAATGTCTGGGGGGATGAGGCCGGCGAGCTGCGGTTACCGCTAAAAGAACATGGTGAAATCGTCTATTGTCTATCATTCTCGCCAGATGGTAAATTCTCAGCAGCAGCGACGGCTTCCAAGCACTGCATTTTCATATGGCAGCTAGCATTGAAAAGTGTCGATATCAAGCTCTCGATACCCGACATACCCCTTAACCCTAGTGCCAATGCCTTCCATGGCCATGGCGACGACAGCTTTTCAACCCTGGTTGCTTCTCACAGCGAAAGCAATATCCCTCACATCGCTTGGTCATTGGATGGGGCATATCTAGGATGCGTATGTGTATCTGGCAGGTTTTGGCTATAGGATACGGCTACTTGGACCTTGAAGCAAAGCGCGATGGCAGAATACAGAGTACAAATGATTCGGGCTCTCGCGTTCTCCGCAGATGGCAGTCTGCCAGCCTCTGCCTGGAGCAACAATTCCATCTTCTCCGAAGGCCGAACAGGGCTCTGGAAAGCGCAGACAGGTGAGCTGATTGGTACGCGAGCTGTCGCAGCCTGCCCACAAACCCTGCGTTTTTCAGCCGACGGTGCAACCCTCGAGGCAAACATCGGTCGAGTGGATGTTTGATCCTTCTATTCCGGATCGAGATATGCCTCTTCTCGCGATCTATTATTGGATGATGCATGGGTGGTGGCTGGCAATGAAAGGATTCTGTTGCCCTTTGAACACCGGGCTACGTGTGCCCTAGCCAGCGATGATCTTCTGATCATGGGCCATGCCTCCGGTCAAATGACTTTCCTTCGCGTCAAGGCGCCCGAGGACTAAAGCTAGTAATTATGGACTTAGACGGCTACGCGTTTTACACAAGCAACCCCTGGACGGTCATTAACCCGGGATAGATGACGGATTGAAATTGACTTAGGGTTTGGGAAAGGACCTGACCGCTCTATAGGACATATGGCGGGTCATCAGTCTTCCCGGCTCCCTCTGCCCCCGCGCCTTCCTCTCCAACCTCTGATTTACTTCAATCCATTAAACCTCCCCGGGGTGTCCTTTTCCTTTTTCCTTAATTTCAACCTCTATATGTACATCCATGAATCGATACTCATTTTCCGTTCATGAACCGACCTCAACGCAAGGGCGATGGCAGAATGTACCGGACCGAAGTCTATGCGACGTACTCGCGGTGCTCTTCGGTCTGCTTATCCTCCACTTGAAGCTGCCCACTGTTGCCTCCGGCTAGCGCGAGCTCTGCATGATGCTTGCGAAGCTCCCGTGCTGCTCGGACGGGGTGCAGAATGTTGCGGCTGTCGAGGAAGATGTTGTCGATGGCCTCGAGATGAAGGCCCTCTGTCTCGGGGAAGAAGAAGTAGACCACTATCATTCGATTTAGCCTCGGTTGGAAAATGACACAAGCAGTACCAATGAAGATGCGCTCAAGGGGCGGGAGAAACAAAAAAGGTGGAAGGAGCGGAAGAACAAGCCACAACAAAATCAACGAAGAGTGGGACTTACTCGGCACAAGAAGGACCAGGTTAATCGCTGCATAGACCAGGAAGTACTTCCAGCCCAGTGAGCTGAATCCACTTGGGGTGACCTCGACGACGAGGAAGTTGAACGTCCACGAGGAGGCGGTCGACATGCCGGTGATTTGGGTCCGCACGGAAAGAGGCGCGATCTCTGAACAGTAGAGGTAAGTCAACCCGATGCATCCGGTGACATAGAAGAAAACGTAGATGAAGATGAAGACAACGGCGGTGTCCATGGCTGCTTTGCTGCTACTGGTCTGGGACATGCAGCCCGCCATAACCGCCATGCAGATGCCCATTCCCACGAAGGAGAGGATCAGCAGCTTCCGACGGCCGGCTTTGTCAACAGTGAGGGCGCCGAAGGGGCTGATTAGGATTTTCCTTTGTGTGTGGAGAATCGTTAGCTTTTATTTGAGGTTTCAAGAGCTTCTTCTTTTATTCTTGCGTGATGATACATACCAGGTAAACAGCACGGCTGACATGAGCAGCGCTAGCTTGGAATCCATGCCGAGAAACTGCTTGAAGATGGTACTTTGATAGAAAGTGATGGCGTTCTGTCCACACATTTGCTGCGCCATTTGCGTGGCAATGGCAATGGAAGCCCGATTACCGAAGCGTGAGGGCCCGTTTCGAAAGATGTCCTTAAAGGAGCCCTGGCCAGTTTCTTGTAGGGATGACTCGATCTCCTCCACTTGATGGACCACTGCCTCACTCGTGGGAGACTCGTCGAGAAGAATGGCTAGCGCTTCGCGGGCCTCGTCGATCCGACCTACTTTGATGAGCCATCTCGGCTACCACCTATTGTTAGCTGGTGTTTTGAGGGGTTAACAGCTGAGCATAAGCTTACCGATTCCGGCCAGAAGGGGGTGAAGACTAGAGATATCAGACAGAGGAGGCACGGAAAAGCGAGCGGCAGGCGCCAGACGACGGAGCCCTCAGCGAAGGCGAGGCCATATTCCAGCCAGCCCGCCACGGCCAGACCGATGGCCAAGAACCCGCTTTGAAGCATCACAATAAACCCACGAAGCTTGGGGGTAGTTGTCTCGCTCTGCCTATTTCTCGCACCCAACATTTTCTCATCAGCGACTGGTAGACAAACAAGGGATCTGAGACGTAAATGAGGTTCCTACCAATTTGGCCCTGTAGCCGTCACCGCGCCGAATCCCAACCCAGTAATGAACCGCCCGACAATCAGATGTGCCAGCACAAAGGCCGTACTCTGAAGAACCGAGCCCACAATCGTGATCGCCAACCCAAGCATGAATGTTCGTTTCCTGCCCAGGCGATCACCGACCCCGATACAGGCGATGGCACTGAAAAGACAACCCAGGTTGAAGAGAGCCACCACCGTGCCCTCGATCCGGGAGTTCTCGGCGTTCGTCGCTCCAGTGGTGTTCACCGTGTCGAGCTGGGGGAATGTATCCACCCATGATTGTCGGTTGACGATGCCGCTGGACACCGCGTTCAGATACCCGAAGCAGATGTAGGCGGGGATGATGACCGTCGCGATGTGACCTATGGTCACTTTGTTTCCCCTTAATCCGAATGCCTGGCCCATTTTGCTGGGCTTGGGTTGGAGATTGGGGACTAGAAACTGCGGATATGACTTCACGATCAGGGTGGTCGGAAGGCCGTGTAAGGGCTAGAAAGGTCTTGGTCAGGGGTCAAAAGAGCAAGAGAATCAATCTTTCTATATACAAACACAACCCTGAAGAAAATCAATTTAAAGCTCAGAAAAGAGATATTGGTGGGAAAAGCTGGGGTCAGACATCACATCAATCCCCCCGGAGGTGGAGAGAGGAGTGCCGTCTCGTTCCGGTATGGAAAAAGGCATATTTGATCCACTTTTGTCTTACCCCGCGCATCATCCAATGCCTATGGGACATCTGTATGCGGGCATATTTGTGGAGGTGTATTACTCTTTGAATTAGGCCCAGAAACAAGGGTGCGCGGAAACTTCCGATCCCGGAGGACTCGGTTCGGTGTACAAGCTCACCTAGGCAAACCTTAACTCCGACTTCAGGATGTGAACTATAATCTTATAGGCAACGCTATACGACTGGGATATATTCATTCAAAGACTCAATGGGCGTACGAATAGTCAGTCTGTTTGGTAACAAGAATGGTGCGCTCATACACTACAAACGGCGAAGGAAAAATGCAGTCAAGGCCATGTCGTCATATCAATAGGGATCAGCTTTCAAAGTCAGGCTAAACGGGGGGTGTGAGCCAACAATCCAACCTGTTTTATGGCGCCGAGTATCGCTCGCTTGTAAGCTAGGCTGGAGTTTTGCTGTGGACTGTGTCAATATTCATCATTCACTTCCACCTCCGCCGGCAAAGCGGGTGGATTAGGGCTCTTTTCCGCCTCCCACGGCGGAAAAGCCTCGATAGGTGGCCCCAGTTCTCCGCCGCCGCCATCTCGCTAGAAAAGTTCCCCCAATGTCTTTTGGCTTCTCCGACTGAAATGGTGATATATATTAGAGCAAGGTTGTCAGCGCTGCTAAGTAATCCGGCCACGTGATTCCAAAGGCCTTTTCATCTTGTTACATACGGAACGTAGCTAGTTCAACCAACCAACCAACAATCAACCAACCAATCAATCAACCATCAAGAATCATATCAAACACGTCCCAGAACCTCCCCTGAAGCCTCTCAGTCCGCTGACAAAGGTTCCGTACAGCAGTTCCTGTAGAAAGACGCACAACACACCACGGAGGAGATGAAACACGTTCGGCTCTTTTCTCTTACACATTGCAATGCAAATACACACTCTCGTCCGGATGATTGACTTTAGATACGCATCAAGATTCCTTACTCTCGATAGATTTGTAAATGAATCAACTCTGATTCAAACGCTCCATTTTTTATTTTCTTCGCTAGTCAGCTTTCGAAAGGGATCGTAGTTGGTAGTAGGTCCAACCCTGCGCGGATTCCCTATCACAATAAATGGTGATCTATTGGAAATCTCCATGCAAGCCGAAAGAATGGGGGTGTTCTATGATGGAGATTTTAATTCAGCTAGCTAGCGAGCATGCGATGCACCAAAGTAGCTGTATGTTCTTTCTCATTGTATGCCACCTTTCTCGGAATAACACATAGCAAAAGGTGTTCGATGTATATATAAGGCATTCCTTCATTAGTTCCATTTCTACTGAATCAAAAGTCTATCCGAAATCGTGATCTTGTTTGAGTAGGGTATTTGAAGTTGAGCTACTTAGGCTGTTAAAGCAAAAGTATATAAGCAGAGACCAATTCTAATAATTTTTAGTCCATCGACTCAACAAGTGGCGTCCTCTCATAATGCAGAGACAGCGCGGTGGTGACTGAGGCGATCCATCTTGCCCCGGGGACGCGAACGCGTGAATAGCGGCAGGGTGTAGCTTAGATTTTGACCGCGCTGCGGTTGCTATTGGTTCATGAAATGGCATTTTTCACCCTCCGAGTCAAAATACCCTATATGAGCCAGTTTAGAATCTGTAGATTAAAACTTCCAGCCAGTTAGGCAGTAGTTCTCACCCCAATAGTCAAGACATCCTATAGTTATGAGGTGATCCAGGGCCTGGCGGTGTCCACACTGTATACATATATGAGCGCCACCGGTGGTGCCCTAGGCACCCATGGTTGGCTGCTTGACAGGCCGGTAAGCAGAAAAACTGTTTTTGGTCCCCATTTGAAAGCCACTTCCACTTCTCCAAAATTGGAGATTCAATTGCGGGGGCTACTCATCTTGTTGTTCCTGGTAGAAGGTCTTGGGAGCCTTGCTCAGCGGTCTCAGGATTACCAAGACATTCTAGAATCTCTAGTGCTTTTTACATTATGGTGTCTGCTGATTACCTTACAGCTCTTGTAAATTACAAGCTCCAATCTATCTCTTACTGTCTGTGGTTCCTGATTAGTGCTAATAGGTTCTTTTCTACCTAGTTTATAGGTAGAGATCCCCGGATTATATCATAATAAAAAGCAGTAGAAAGATAGCGAAGGTGGTAAATCGAGCGTCGTGGTAGACTTATCTGATGATGTCCCAGGATACTATTGTATCAGGGTTTCATATTAAGATCTTAAGCAATAAACTAGAATATTCTTTTGCATCACAGTCATCAAACTTTATTTTTACATTCAAAACTGTTACATACACAGCTGGAACAGTTATGAGCAGTATACTTCTGGTTGGTCTGATCGCCTATAGGGAGAACCATTAACGTAATTTTTACCCTTCAGAACCGGCAACCCAATCTCGGGTAGAGTATCTGCTGCGGAGGATTCTGGGTGGGATACAGTATCAGAAAAGGTAGCTCCATCATTGCCCACCACTGTGGTACATCGATTCACAGTGTGATAATAGTCTTCTATGCGGTGTTGGTATCTGACAGTGAGCCTCGCCAGGCTACCTTCTTCAAAATGTGAGCCCCGTGGTTCTCCGACAATTTGGACATCTCCAAATCCCCACAAGAAGGTTCTTCGATCCTTCTTGTGGAGACCCCTGGTTATGTCCTCGAGTAAATTGGTTGGCATCATGAGAAGGTCCACCCAAGGTTCTAGGCGCAATTTTAACTGCTTGAGTCTTCATATCTTGACTACATGAGGCAGTGACTTAGCGGAATCTCTGCTCTCCTCTCTTACACGAAAGACACCAGCTTATAAAGCTGCGCATGGCCTCCCCCATACTATCAGGAAAGAATCGCCCCGTCTCATCCAGCGATCAATTTCTGCAGACTACAGAGCTTTCCATGCTACGAGACCTCAACATGTCTCTCACCAAGGTTATTGCGATGGCGCTTGCCGTTATGCCGGCCCTCACTGTCCCTACCGCTTCTAAAGCCATCGACAACACACAAAAGTTTTCCAGTATGGCGAAAACGGCACCTGGCTGGAGAATATCGCAGTCCGCAAAAACGGCATGGTTCTGACCACTCGTCTCGACTTCCCTCAACTGTTGAGGGTCGGCCCCACCGGGGCACGCAACGCCTCGGTTATCCACACTTTCCCCGGCGTGCGCAGTCTGCTCGGAATTGCTGCAATCGAGACGTATGTCTTTGCGGTTCTTGCAAAACTCTTCTCAATTCAGACCCTCTCCACCCCCGGCACCTATGCCTTCTGGAGGGTCGATCTCACCTCCTCCGCGCCCAATGTCTCCGTCATCCCTAAGGTCCCCGAGGCCGACTTTCTCACCGGCCTGGCCCTCTTCGACCGGACCACTTTGCTCTCTACTGACTCTGCTAAGGGTGTCATCTACCGGGTCAAGATCTCCACTGGCAAATACTCGGTTTTCCTATCGGATCCCGCCACCATGCTGTCGTTCAAGGATAGCCCCAAACCTGTCGGAGTCAATGGTCTCAAGGAGCACGGCAAGTACGTAACGTACTACAGCAGCACCACCGGAATGGTCCTTGCCAGGATGCCATTCAACAAGAACGCCCAGCCTTCCGGCCCCATCGAGGTCATCGCCGGTGGCTTCACGCCCGATGACTTTGTTGTGACCAAGAACGGCACGGCGTACGTCACCACCAACGCGGAGAACGGGCTGTTGAAGGTCAAGCCATCTGGCCGCGTGACTGCGGTCGCTGAAGCTTTGTTCTCATCCACACTTGCGGGCGCTACCTCGATCGCTATGAGCCACGACCAGAAGACTCTGTATATTTCCACCGCTGGAGGCCAGTTTCAGCCTGTTTCGGGGATATCATCGAGCCAGCCAAGGTGGTCATTCTAGACTTCGTGACGTCACTTTTTATATATTTCAAATCATTTATTCTTTATATATATACTCTCATATACATACCGTCGCGGTTAAAGAATACATTCACTTGCTATAGACTCGCTGTAGCTACTAGGTATACATGCAAGCAGTCTAAATAGCACGATGTGAGTGAGACCAGAGCGCCCTAGTCATAAAGCCATGTGAGCACATCATAATCCCCCGTTGTCCACTGGCCAATGATGCAGAGACATCGTGGTGCCTGGTGCCATAGCACATGGCCGCGCTGGGTGGTTTGGATCTGACAAGCGTGGGTTTACCTTACGCTAAGTTAAAGAACTATAATAAGTGGCTATAATATACACTCGCAGGCATGATCAGATGGCCAATCCTTGGAGAAAATCCATACGTACTTCTGACAATCAGAATGAACGTCAAGCCAAAACTAGGGCTTTAGAACCGATAGAGTCTCGAGGACGGACGGATATTGTCTCTAGGGTAAATGGCGAGATAAGAAAGCTGAAAGGAAGTATTCCCATTGCCCTCCGTAACATTCGTAATGGGGATAACCCATTGTCCGCTTCTACCATACCGATCTATCAAATTCTGATTGCCGTGGGCAGGGTAAGTGTTGTCGATCAGGCACCCAGCAAATAGGCTGCTGTTCTTCCAGTGGCGTGATATCTCAGGACTTTACGATTTCATTGTGTGACTTCGATGCTTCTAGTTGGTAATACATTGATTACTTGGCTATACGAGTAAGCGGACTACTACTTCGATTGTCTAAGGAGTACTATCCACAGACTCCACCTGATGTGTATACTTATACTTGTATATGTGTGTGTACAGGAGGTGGGTCCTCGGCCCGCATTCCATTTCGACGAGCCCCCAGCTCCACTCGTAGGCCGTTCTTGTCCAACTCACCAAGAAGCTATATTGTCTCTATATTTGAAGTAAATACCCCTTTTATATCTTGGCATATTTGTCTTGAACGGATTGAGGTACTAGTCTCACGGCTGACAGTGAGATGCTGACATACCCGGTGCCAGCAACCGAAATAGCTGCTGACGGGTGAATCTCCTGAGAAATCACTACAGGGTCTAGAGTTAGACCTAATGCTTTGTCTGGAGAGACTAGACATCCAAGAAAGTAACGTAAGCAAGTGTCTGAGGTGCTTGAAAGGAGTATATGGTCAAAGCGCCTAGTTCTGCTCTCCTCCGATCAGTGTAAGATTACATAAGCAATTTCCTACCCCTGCATCAAGCCTGACTGGTGGTTGGGCCTTGTAGCCCAGAATCGCATGGGCGATAATGACTGCATTTCATTTATAACACCATTTCACCGTCCGTTCTTGTCTTTCCCTATTCGAATTCCCTCCTTTCCTCTTGTTATTTCGGGATGTAGGGACCCGCCGGGGTGGTAATCGCGGTGCCAACAATGTCTTTTGCTGACGGGGAGGGCAAAACAATTTGACTTCGACCTGCAATTTGAGAGTCTCTTTTTCTCAATTATACCCTCCGTCTTGTTTATATCATCATCGCTATGGCGGACTCTAGCCCGGATACGCAAGCCCGTCATGGTAAATGCGCCCGTCTTGCAATTCATCAAAACAGTACGCCCTCCTCGATTAGGAACTAGGTAAACAGTCTTTGCCCACTGACTGCTTGGGAATCCATTGTAATTTACGCTGGCTTGGAACTTGCACTTCTCATACTCGCTGCGGTCGGCTTCTTCTAGATTAGCCGCCTATCCATCGCTTCCTCCCTCCTGCAACTGCTATCGGCCCGTTTCATGCTGACGGTGAGTGTGGTGGACCACGGCCGCAGCTCTAGACCCTCGATGCTCTTGAACAGCTACCTGTTTCTCACCCTTCTTCTCGATATCGCTCGAGCAAGAACGCTATTCCTGTCGTCCGACCACAGTTTCGAGATCACCTACAGCGGCATATTCTATGCATCGGTCGGGCTTAAGACCGCCATCTTACTACTTGAGGCCTGTCGAAAAACGAGATGGTTGAGCTGGGACGCAACGCAACACAGCCCCGAGGAGACGAGAGGGATATTCTCGCTGGGCGTCTTCTCCTGGCTGAACAAGCTCTTCTGGGCTGGTTATAGACGTACCTTGGCCATCGAAAGCCTCTACCCCCTCGACAGCACATTCGACGCACAGGCCCTGCATGAGAAACTTCGTAAGGAAAATAGACTACGCCAAGCTAAAATGTGATAGATTTGGCCTTTTGAAGGTGCAGATACGTAGTCTGTGGGTGCAACTGCTCCTGCCTGTTCTGCCGAGGGCGGCTCTGATTGCTTTCTACATCTGCCAACCCCTATTCATTGAGAGTCTCGTCAAGTATCTGTCTCACTCGGAGCCAGATCAAGATGTTGGATATGGGCTAGTCGGCGCAGCCATACTCATCTATTCGGGTATTGCGGTCTCGTATGCCTTATACTGGTACTGCCACCACCGACTGCAGACGATGGTCCGCTCCATCCTAGTCACTGAGATGTTCGAAGCCGCCACGAGAGCCCGTCTTGGATCAAGCGATGATAACACTGTGCTGACGCTCATAAGCACCGATATGGAGCGCATCCGGATAGGTCTCCGCTTCGTGCACGAGACATGGGCAACATCCTCCTCCTGGACGAAGTGAGCTCCAGCGTAGACCGGGACACCGAGCGGCTGATGCAGAAGGTCATCCGGGTGGAGTTTCGGGCGTACACGGTCATTGCGGTGAGCCATCGGCTGGAGATGATTATGGATTTCGATTGGGTGGTGGTCATGGATCGCGGGGAGGTGGTCGAGGTGGGGAATCCCGTAGCCCTAAAGGAAAGGGGCGCTGCGACGAGGTCTGGGGAGTTGGTGGCTGCTGCTGGGGCGTAGTACCCTTCATTCGATCTGGTTGATCTTTCTTGTCCGTGTTAGCATCTGTAAGTCTTAATTGAATCTATGATATCTTGTCTGATACGCCGGATGATCACTTGTTGGCCATACCACCTCCTCGAGTAATCTGATGCTACTAGCTAGGATTCGATCAACCCAAAGTATAATCCGGCCGGAAAGATTGGTTACATCTTGAAACTCGTCTCTGAAAGTAATCCTATCAACTAGCATGTATGGTATTTATTGTATATAGATTGTGATTGCGGGAACCCCACCTGTGTGGCAACCGGCGGAGCACCCACGAAGTCTGATTGACCGGGGAATGGATCAATTCTCCGGAGGCAAATCTGCTCGCCGTTCTGGTCACGCTGGTCGAGGAGCTGGAACGGCTCCCCGGACCACCGCAACGCCTTCACGGAGCTGTGCATCATCGCGCGCACCTTCGCCCGCAAGTGGACGTTCATGAAGGGCATCCTGCGCATGCTGCACGTCTCCGCCCAGAAGGACGGCGTCGCCCTGCCGCCCGAGACCCACGCCCTCTTCGTCGACTTCTCCGATAGGGTGTGGGGCCGCGCCCAGCGCGATCGGTTCCGCAGTCTGTACCCGAATCCGAGCTCGTTGGCGGAGACCGGTGGGGATCGCTCCAGGGAGGAGGCGGAGCTGAGTAGCTTTTTGGAGAAGTGGAATACGCTGGAGATTCGGGATGGTGGGGAGGAGGGGGCTTAGTTGGGTGGGTGATATGGAGGGATCAGGTATTGGTTTGGACTTTCGCTATGCATGATTGGATATACCATGATCTACGTTTTTGGGCTATCACATCGCATACACGGAAGAATTTAATTGTCGTCAATGTCCTCAACTCGTGGCATTCTTGGATACAAAGCACGGCTCTCAGCCCCATTTTACGGCCACCCCATCCCTCATAGCATCTCCTTCTCACCCTCCCCTCGCACCGACACCTTCACGAAAAAGTCCAACGGCTTCACAAACCACTTGTTATCCGTGTCCCACGTGCGGTTGACGAGCTGGAAGTCGAAATCCCGGACCATCTGCGGGACCAGCTTCGACATCTCGAGGATGGAGATGTGCTTGCCGAGACACGTGCGCGAGCCCAGGCCGAACTAGCGTTGCATCAGTCATCAGTCATCTCACCTCAACGAGAATTCTACGAAAGGGAGAAAGCTTACAGGCATATACATCTCATTCATCAGCTGCAACCGCCCCGGATCCCCCTTCTCCGCCTCGATCCACCGCTCCGGCCGGAAACTTCGGGCGTCCGGGAACACCCCCTCATCGTAGTGCGCGACCCAGGTGTTCACGCCCACGACACTCCCCTGGGGGAAATGGTACCCGCTGATCTCCGCCCCGCCGGCGGGAACCTCGCGCCACAGCGGCAGGCCCGTCGCGCTGTGCAGCCGGATCGCTTCCTTCATCACCGCCTGCAAGTACGGCATGGCCTGGCTTTCTTTGAAAGTCACGCGGGCGCTGCAGCGGTTTTGCGCCGTGAACTCATCGATCTCCCGGCGTAGGTGCGCCAGCGTGGCCGGGTTGCGCAGGAGGTGGTACAGGATGGCCGACAGGCTGATGGCGGTCGTGTCGGAGCCGGCGATGATGTTGGAGATGCCCATCATGAAGAGGTGATAGTCGGTCACTTTCTCGGGGTCCTTGTCGCGAGCGAGCGCCATCTTCTCGAGGAAGTCTTGCGTCTTGAGTGGGGTGGTGGTGGTGGTGGTGGTGGTTTCGTCTTGTTGTGGGTGGGTCTTGCGTTGCTCGTTCAATTGTTGGATTTTCTGGGATACAAAGCGCATTACGAAGGAGCGGCCGGCAGGCCCTGAGGAAGTGAAGCGGCTGAGGGGTTCGTAGACGCGGGGGTGCCATTCGGGGTAGATGCCGATCAGGGTGCTGTAGGCCATCACCTTTTGGAGGGCGCCGATCGCGCCTTCAATGTCTTCGCCTTGGTCGAGGAAGCCTTTTCGCTCTCTGGGTTAGTGGCTGTGTGACTGGAATAGGGTGACTGGAATAGGGTGGTGGGCGTACCGAAGCGCTGCCCGAAGGTGATATCCCCAATCACATCGAAGGCGTAGCACTGCAGCCAGTGGTGCAGGTCAAAGGTTTGGCCGCTTTGCGCAAACTCGGTGAGCCTGTCGCGGAAGAGGTCGGCACATTGATCGGCGAATTCTTCGTAGTGGAGGAGGGAGCTCATCGAGTAGAGGCTGGAGAATCGCTTGCGGGTTTCCGCTTCAGGGCGGGAAAGCGTCAGTCGGGATACCTTTCTTTGCGCCTGATCAGGATTAGCAATACGTACAGTGCCTCTTGATGTTGCGATCCGGGAACAACGTCCACCGATCAGGCGACGGGTGCTTCCAGCCCTCGTACCAGGCGGACTTGGAGAATCGGCTCCCCGTGCCGTAGACCGTCTTCACGGCGGAGCGCTCGCTGATACTGTAGTGGCCCGGGGCGATGCGCACAACGGGGCCGTAGCGCGCATGCAGACTGAGATTGTCGGCCTCAAAGTGGCCTTTCCAGACTCGATTGAAGTACCAGATTCGAGTGAAGCGGGCGAGAAACGGGCCCGGGATGGAGGTCAGGGAGGGGCTTTTCCATGTTGTGTAGAGGAGCTGGAGGACGCTTTTGGTGAGGTAGATGAGGATGGGAAGACAGACGAGAAGGAGCAGATGCATGGTGGTGTGGTTGTGGGGAGAAGAAGTGAAGTGCGATTGTTCGTCTCTTGGTTTGAGTGTTGGCTGGAAGCGTTGCCATCTTATAAACCATTTGCGGTGTGGAGCCGGTACAGCAGCTAATGTCAGTCAACCCAACGGTTAGTGCTGACACAGCTGATGGAGTTCAAAGCTTAGTGGAGTGGCTCAATCCATCATAGCTCATTGCAAAGCAAGGATCAGCTCTGAGTTGTCTATTGTCTCGAAAAAAGGGTCAAAGGGACGAGGTGACGATGGCAGGATGGAGAGATGGAGAAGGATGGAGATGGGCAGTCCCCGCATTGACGGTCGGAGAAGTGCGGGGAAAAGGCGGATTATCCCAGGCTTGTGTCCGAGCCTTGCCGCATAGCCTTCTTTTATGCTTGCCGATCGTCGGCTCCACCCCGCCTGTGTGTGGCTTATCCAGATCATTTCATGCACTGGGTTTATGCTCTACTGGCAGTAGCTAGATACCATGAGTAGTACTATACTCCACTTGGCAAAATTGTGATCAACAATCAAATCCAATTCAACCCATGACTCCATACCCAGTTTCAGTTTTATACATACATTGATAACGTCATTAGAAGCGCCACGCACACACCACTACCCACGCAACAACGAACTAAGAAACACGCCATGAGCCAAGCACAGAGCGGAGTCGTCGCAGCGCAAAGTTATACGGTTCACCATCTTCCAAGGGGTGAAGCACCCCGGACGAAGTCGGACCAACCACCATTCAAGACCGACGATCACCCCAGAGGCCAACGATACCCATCGCCAATGCCAGCCCCGAGAACACCGCCCGCACCTGCTGCAGCCGCCGTTCCGTGTTCATCTCCGTCTGTACGCTCTCGCCGTTCTCCTCCGCCTCGACCACCACCAGATCCTCCTCCTTCTTCTGCTGCTTGGGGGCGCCGGCCTGGGTCCAGAACCCCGTGTCGTGCAGGACCGCCTGGAACCACGCCTTGACGCCCGCCTGGCGGTGGAACCAGAAGTCCATGCCGTAGGTGCCGATGGTCGAGGCCACGCACATCCAGATCAGGTAGGGGTGTTTGCGGTGGCGCGGAGAGATGCTGTAGGCGAACAGGAGGCACCCGTTAGCGATGTTGGTGAGGCGAATGCCGTGCTTGCGATTCAGGCGTTTGATCTCGCTCAGCGATCGCGAGCCGGTCGCCGAGGTCGGGAGTTGAGCCAGCGCGGGGATGGCGATCGTCGAGGCCGAGTAGGAGATGCCCTTTGATAGTTGAGTCGTGTCAGTGCGGTTTTACAGGCGGGGGTGGGTGCGTGATGCGATAAAATCCCAGTAAGGGTTGGAGGGAAGGTGGGAGGATTCAACGCTTGGAGTGGGAGGATGGCGTGGCGATCGCAGCCAACATACCGTGAGCAGACCCAGGGAGACAGTTCCCACAAACTTGGAGACGGTGATGGGACACGCCATGTTGATTATGGGTCGATAACTATCTGTGCACACGAGAAAGGGCTATGGAGTTGCAAGGGAACTGAATCGGATTGCTTCGGCGTGGATGAGGTTGGGTACTGCACTCGATGAATTGCACCAGGCAGGATGAAAAAGGAAAAAACAATGACGGAGTTGCCCAGCCCTGCGAATGTGACGAGGCGGGTGCGGCCTTGGCGGCCTGAGGCTTATCTGTGCCTTATTAATGCCTGAAGGCCGCACTCTCATTGGATGATTGGTCTTTCCACACACAATAAAAGATTTCTATTTCTATACTGCCTGATCATGGATCTGATATGAAGTATCCCCATTTGTGACTCAAATGTGACTGCCCAAGCGAACACTGCTACGGAGCGGGTAGCCACACAGATGAAGGGAAACCGCATGGATATTGTCGATTGAAACGATACAGAACTAATGAAAAGTGCCCTCGCTCCGATAAACCTATAAAGTAAAGAAACGAACAGACTGGCGTATGTAAAGCCCCCCAATGACCCGGATATCACAATTCCATCGTAGAACATTTCAAAAAGGGGAAAGAGAAAAAAAAAAAAAAAAAAAAGAAAAGAAAAGAGAGATTATTAGAGGAGGGATGTGCAAATAGCTAACTTGGGCCTCAATGGATGATCAACCCATCAAGTCCGGACCGCTTCTCTGGACGTGATACCAATATGATCGCCCAGAAACCATTGTGCAAGGATCTTGAACCCAGCAATGCTGAGAAATGTAAAGTCGTAGGGCTTAGTGCGGCAAATCAACAGTTCCTGGCCATCAAAGTATGCCTCCATGACACGCGGATGCCGTCGGTTGAGCGAAAAGAGCAGAATCCATTCTCACCAATCAACCTTTTTTATTTTCCGCAATCAGGATGCTAAGAACAATAGAAATCTACTAGTGCAACCATATCGCTGACAAACACCGTTCACTTGAGCTGGCCCAACAGGATCCGAATGACAGTCAATATGTCCCCGTAAAGCAGATGACTATCATCTACGTTGAGGTCGTTGTGCATGATACATTTCATATGCGGCTTGGAAGCTTTAGCAACATGAACTATCGACAATGCGCCATACTCAGGGTCAACCATCCGGTATAGATTGCGAATATTGTAATCGCCGATCCTGGTGACACGGAATGGGTGAGTGATTAGATCCAGACATAGGGTGCCTTAGTACTAGGTGCTTGCTGTTTGCTTGCTTGACCACGTTGGTTAGACCTCTGGAACGTCGACAATCATTCGCTCACGTATGAATGGAAATAAAGGTAGATCAGTCGCCCGCGGTCACATAAAGTTAAACTGTCGGTATCGTCTTCTCTGTCGACATATTCTGGCGTTGGCTCTGGCATGTCACTAGGGGCAGAAGAAGTGAAAACTTCGGTGCGAGCGAGTCACCAGCATCAAGGCTTAGAGGTTAAGCCCGAACTCTGCACCGTTTCAGCACATTTTGGTCTAGGGTATGTATATCCTGCTCTTCCAGGGCTTTGATGTCCCTTTCGACAAGGAGGAGTGCTTTGCGAAGATTGAACCGATGGTGAGGCTCAGTGATGGGCTCCACGAGCACGATATCTGAGATTATCAAGATGTAATAGTCCGCGTAACAGAAACATTTATAGCAGTTGCGGTTCGCTCTGGTTGATATACGGTAAAGAGCTGCAACTTGAGAAAGTGACGTTCCCGTTGGCGGCCTGAGGCTAAAATATGTTTCATCAATGCCTGAGCGCAGTAAGTTACCCTTAAATAGACGATGGACACCTCTATACGGCACTTTCTATGCAGCACAGCATATTAATCAAGGTACAGTTCTTGTATACTGCAGTCAGAAGTAACGTCTAGGTATTTGACTTTTCATACCAAGTCTGATGAATCTGGGTCCTGCTAGGTTCGGCTGCTTGAGCGACGCACGCTTGCCAACGCCAAGAATTAGCTATTTCTCATATATATAAAAGCAGATGATGTTTCTGGTGTCGACAGGACTCCCACGCCGATGAAACAAAAGTGCTCAGCTATAGGTGCGTAGTCTTTCGGTGTATGTTTTGGAAATTTTGATTTATCAGCAGTCTTGCCCGAGTTCCACTTTCAAACTATAAAAGGCCGCAATATAAGTTTCGATTCTGCGGCAGTCGAGTTTGACCTCCTCGTACTACGTTGCTACTTAAGCTCTATCTATCCAAGATCAAACTTAATCATGTCATTTCCTGAGGCCTACCTGGCGTTCCGCCGCACCGAAGGCACGGCGCCCTTAACAATCGAGCAGGTCACAGAAAAGCTACCGCCCATCCAGTCGCACGATGTCCTAGTTCGCATCCATGCGGTCTCACTCAACTACCGCGACATTGCCATGCTAGACAACACCTATCCACAACCCTGCCTTCCCCGTGGGATCCCCGCCTCGGATTGCGCCGCCGAGGTCGTATCTGTCGGATCCGCTGTCAGTGGCTTCAAGCCAGGCGACCGTGTTACCGCAATCTGGGATCTGACCAACGTGACCGGAACCGAGGAGCGGGCTCCAGAGGCTCTTGGTGGGGATATTGATGGTGTTCTGCGGCAGTATGCCGTGTTCAATGAACAAGTGCTTGTGCATGTGCCTGGGCACCTTTCGTGGGAAGAGGTAGGTCACCGCAAATTGAGACCAAGGTTGAACGATTCCGTAATGTTGAAATAGGCCTCTTGTATCACTTGTGCCGGAACCACCGCTTGGAATGCACTTGAGTTCCCTAGAAACAGTGGCACAGCCCTGCTCCAAGGTAAGCACACCTCCCGTGTAGAAGCCTGCAGGAGCTTAGGCTAGATGCTGATTAACATGCCCAGGTACCGGTGGTGTGAGCATGTTCGCGCTTCTGCTCTGTATTGCAGCGGGCTTGCAGTCCATCATCACCTCATCTTCGGACGAGAAACTCGACCAGGCTCGGTCGTTGGGCCCCAACGTCAAGACCATCAACTACAAGAAAGTGGCCAAGTGGGAAGATGAAGTGCTCCGTCTCACCAACGGTCGCGGTGCCGATGTTGCCATTGAGAATGTGGGCCCTGCTACCGTGAGGCAGAGTCTTGCCTCTCTTGCCCAGCGGGGTACCTTATCCTTGGTAGGATTTCTGGGAGGACTTGAGGCGAAACAATTCCCCGATCTTTATCTCCCTGTCATGGTGAAGCGAGTGACTATGAGGTTTGTTCTCCCCCTGTTGAACGCGTGAAGATTCTGACGCAAAGGGTTATCCCAGGGGTATCATTGTGGGTTCCAAGATCGACCAACAGGCTTTGTGTGACTTCTTGGCAGAGAAGAAAGTATCTCTTAAGCCATTGATTGATGCTGTCTTTCCTTTTGATCAGTCCAAGGAGGCCTTTGATCGCCTCAAGTCTGGAAAACACCAGGGGAAGATTATCATCACCCTATAGTATGTGCTGTAGTAAAGGATCTGGCGGATGAGCTATTCAGGGTATTCCTTAGCATGAGGATCGGATGAAGCCTTTGTATCCAAGCGCAGAAGTCGAGTGTGTTGAGTATCTGAAGCAATTCCCCTCTCACCGTGGACGGTTCCACTCTTCTTCCACTCTTCCGTATCACATTCCGCTGCTAGATTCCTCCTCCATTCTCTCCACTCACTGCTCAATAATCATCAACTACTTGATATCTACCATCCAGAATCTTCTGCCTCTGCTTCATCATCATCGTCCCACTCTCTCGTGTCGGAAATTGAGGGTGTTGATGGCCGCGAGATGCCTGCTGTGACAGCCCGATCGGAAATGGCGTGCAGCGACAGGCATTGAGAGCTCAAAGTGATGTGCTGCTCCACATCAACTTGCTGGCGCAACCGCTTGGTGCTGTGGTCTGCATTCGTCAGCATCACTTTGAATCGAGCTCTAAGCGAGTCATCCTGCACAATTCCATGTAAGTATTCGATGATGGTCGTCAGTTCCTGGAAGCTCATGTGAAGGTCTTTATCAAAGCAACACACCGCATCAATGATACAGTATACCGTTACGTCTGAAGGGAATTGGCGGGCTAAATGATGCAGCAACACGCAGAGCTTGTCCAGGTCATGTTCTTCTAGCTGCTTGAGCAAGGTTCTCGAATTGATGAAATTGATGCTCAGAAGGTCCCGTCGATGCAATATCAGCAAGAGTTGACAGACGAGACTTCGAACCAGCCCGTTGGGTCCAGCCCAATGATCTTTCGATGACGTGGTACAATGCAATCCGCAGAAGAAGCGTATCACCACATCCTCCGGTCGGACTGCTGCCATGCTCAACACAAATGTTGCACAGAATACGGAGATAGGAGACACATTGTGGAGTGCAAAGGATCGAAGGTTCGCATCGACAAGGAGCAGGTCTGGGTGTTCTTGATTCATCCATTCCATGAAACGTACATTCTGCAACACGGACTGCGCTTGACTTTGCGTCTGTGCATCGAAAGTAGTTTTCTTTCCTAGAACAATCTCCAAATCGTCATTGGGCTGCCCGAATGCTGCACCGTAATCGGGCGGCTGGCCTCCACCCGAGGGCGATTGAACCAAAACTTCCAAGAGTCGGGAGAGGGAGACCACTGCCGCGGAGCTTCGTTCTTCCCTGCGAGGAGAGCCTTCAATCTCGGAAACATAGAGACGTTGCTGAAGCTGTAAGTTGAGGCTTCTCTCTTCTAAATGTTGTAGTCAGCTTTTGAACCAGGTTAGTTTGACAAGAACCGCTTACTCCTCCAATCCTCGAGCAAGAATTGCAACATTTGATTCCTAGCGTCCTGGCTGTTACCCATCATCTGTGATTGGGTCTCTATGAAATGATTCAACCTCTCCTCCTCTCTTTGAATCAATTGGATGATCTCGAGGTGCCGTTTCTCCCCGGCCTCAATTCCCGACTTGACCTCTCTGACATCGATTGAGACGTTTTGCAGGATACCGTCCGTATTCTGAGCAAGCTTTTGGACCTCAGTCAGCCCACTGGATATGTCATTGATTCCGCTTTTAACGATCTGCACGTCTCCATTGATTTGGCGTGTGTTGATCTCCGCTTCCTTCTGGTTCCAACGCATGACATGAACCTCTTGATGCGTATCTCTTGAATATCGCTCGATCGCCTCTATATGCGTGTCCCGACACCTCTCAGCAGCGAGTGAGAGCATATTTGAAGCTTCCTTGACTCGTTGCAGTGCTTGTTCTGGAGATTCATCATGCTTTCGAACTTTGGAGTTTGATGTTATTCGGAAATGCCTCTTTTCCTTCACGGCCCCGTCGCGATCGAGAAAGCGTTTTGCGGGGAGAGAGTTGAGAAGAATCTCTATCGCATCGACGATGGCAATGTAAAGGTCCTTTGTGTGCTGGCTCATCTCCGGGTCAGTTTGAAAACTTCGCCGTCTACATTTCATTTCCACGATAGCGATTTGGAGTTCATGAAATGTGGTGATTATTTCTTGCCTTGTTTCTGCCGACTTTGCTGCTAACTATCTCAAGCAGTCAGACGTGTACAAATTACATCTCGTTTCTCTTACCTCCACGCGAGACGTACATTCAATGCAACCGCAATCCCGGCTTTCACAACAGCTAGTCCGTAACTGTCAGGAATGATATTAATCCAAGGATCGATCAGTTCCCTTTTCTCCCCGAATTTCAGCCATGCCTTAGAGAAAATTGCACGCGCGCCTTTTTCGTCGGCGGTTCGCCACTCTTTCTCAGCTTCGGTGACTCTGTCGAAGACTGTCTCCCAGGATGAACAGTCATTCGACTTTGCACCGAGAATTGTTTGAACGTGGTGCTTGAGTACAGCCTCCAGATTTCTATACTCGATGTTAGTTACCGAACCTTGACCACCGGGAACTTTGCCACGGGTAGTGTCCAAAGATGTGCAGTCCGAGCCCTGACTCCGATCAGAGAAGAGATATGCCTACATGTATGGCTTCGCACTCTCAAACCGAGCTCGCTGGTTATTATATTCCGACCAACCCCCGAGCCCGTGGTGCACCTTCACCCCCTTGTCGCTGATGAATTTTGCTGTCGTTGCGGCTGCCGCGCCGCCAGCTCGGTAATGAGCTGCTTCCATCTGCAAAGGACGAAGTCAAGAAGTCTGGGTGATTTGCTTGGGTGCTCGTGGAGACTGGGAGGACGCAGCAGAGTCGAGAGATGGGGCACGCTCGCTTTCAATGCAGAAGATAACAGCGGGCTCAGCTTCTTGGCACTCCGATCCTTGAGGGTACAGCCACGAGTAAGGCGGAATCTATCCTGGTGAACCGACTGACTAATTCGTCCTGAGGCTGCCTCGCTCTTTGCGGCTAGGCCTTCACAGTTCAGATGATCATTGGATAGAAGATAATTCAGAGAAGGAGGTTGTCGTGTGAGTTGCGACTAGAAAAGATACCAACGCGAGAGGGCGGGGAAATCGTCCCAGCCTTGCCGTCGGTTTGCTCGAGTCGCGCTTGGCCAAATCAAATGTGCCATTTGAGGGGCGCAGGCGCTTCCACCTCGTATTCAGTGATTCGGGGTGATAAATTTTAGGATTGAGTGTTGCCGTGGTCTTGCTTTCGTAGTCTCTGTTGTACGTGTATCTTTCCCTCTCAAACGCTTTGTTCTACAGTCTTGATTTCACCTACCCCGCCATAGATGGATACTCTTCTTGTGTCGGAGAAGCCTCCACTACTGAGACTTGACGCAAGCGACGGAAATGTCATGAAGCATAAGCAGGGTCTTAAAGAAGACGAGGTTGTGGGGACTCGAGAGATTTCCGACAAGCCCGATCATATCGCAGAGGGCAGTCCCGTCTTACCAGCGCCACGGACCGATGCCAGCGACCAGGCAGAACATCCTATGTCGGTGACAACAGACCCTCCGAGTCCGAAGCCTGCCAGCACGTCATACGGTAACACCAGCAACAATGAACGATACCATAGTATAGGAGCGGTGCCGGACCTGGACGACTGGCAGGCGAAAATCAAAAGGCTGCCCAGAATTCCCGCGGTCAAAATGATGAACTTTGACCAGTTCAAAAATCGGCATGGATTGGAGAATGGCATTCATATCATTGAAGTCCTCCGAGCCGGGTCGGGTACGAGAAACGAGATCAACAACTCGCAGTTGGAACACACCAGGCAGGCACAGGACCATACCGCTGAGAGTCCTGACCTACAGGGAACCTGGATACAGCGGGTTCGGATTCAATCAGAGCCCATCACGCGCTACATTCAGTATGTGGCGGGCGCCAGTGGGATGGATGTCACGCGGCCATGGACGTTCTTTCGACCATTTCACTTTTTCATCGTGTTTCGCTCGAAGATGAAAGAAGCGCTTGAAAACCTGGAAGAGACATGGGCTTACGCCGAAAGATTGGAGTCTTCTGGTCTGAAGCAAACGGCTATGGTGGCAAGGGAGACGCCGCGCGCTCATGACGAGAAGACTGGTGATAAGATTGATGAAAAGAAAGAAGCAGAAATGGATCCCACTGGCCCGGAGATGAGCAGCATCACCGCGTTGAGACATATGCGCTGCTTTGTGGAGTTTGTGGATAAGGAGATATATCCCCTATTCGAGCGCTTCAGGGGATCCGCGCCACAAAAGGTCCGCTTCGGTGACCTTTGGTTGCTCCTTAAGTATGATGAAATGCTATACTCTCCGCCCGAGGGAGAGGAGTTCCAGAGCTCAAGCCAGCCATTATCACCAAAGTCGAAGTCGATGACTCAAACAGCCTGGAAACTGTGTGGAGAATGGATCCCTACTCCTAAAGATGGACATCCCAACGACCTTGGCGAGGAATCCCAAGAGTATCAAGCAATCTGCTACCATGTTGACCATGACGGTGAATCATACGGAGCAGTCAAGCACGTTTTCAAGATTCAGTACTTCGAAGGAGAGAGGGATATCACATCGCTGCCTGTTTACCCGCTGCGGTTTTCAAAGGACTCCGAGCAGATCTTTGCCCGTCTTCAGGCGCAGGGCGAGAGATTCCAATCACTGATCAAGGAACGACACCTTCGTTATGAAGGGTGGACGGTAATCAATACTCCCACAGGAAAACTGATGACGGACTTCAAGACACCAGAGCACATCGAGAGTGAGGTGATCATTGACCTAGCCGAAGGATACCAGCGGTACCCAGCGTGCAAGCCTGAGTTTGTCAGATATTATCTCGACTCAGACTTTTGGTCCCTGGGCGAAGATAATATCGAAATCAAGCACTGGTCTGATGCGAAACGTACAAGGTTACTCCATTCTACCAAGGAGAGATTGGTTCTTGGAGACTGTTCATTCAACCGAAACTTCAACAATTGGCTGAAGAGTCAACCGTCGTTCCAGATTGGTCTCGACACGAAGCTTACTCAAGTCACGGGGGATGATGTTGCCCTTTTCCCGCGGCGTCTCATGGCATATGTATTACGAGAGAGAAAGTTCGTCATGGTCGATATCTGGTCCCTGCAGCCAGTAATGGCGCATACAAATGCCTTCCGAGATCTAAAAATCAAGCCCAGCCACAAGCGCACGGTGATGTCGCTGGTACAGGCGCACTTCAAACGTGAAGAATGGCGCAAGAAACACCCGCGAGTGGAACTCAGTCAGGACCTCATTCCAGGCAAAGGTAGCGGTTTAATTATCCTGCTGCACGGTGCCCCTGGCGTGGGTAAAACTGCCACTGCAGAGACCGTGGCCCAAGCGGCTAAGAGACCGCTGTTTGCGATCACTTGCGGTGACTTGGGATTGACGCCTAGCGAGGTCGAAGAAGCGCTCAGCAATATTACCCGCCTGGCGCACCTCTGGGGCTGTGTGCTACTCTTAGATGAGGCTGACATCTTCCTGTCGAGAAGGGGGATCACTGATTTCAAACGAAATGCGCTTGTTTCGGGTAGGTCGTTACATTGCATATATGAGATGTTCGGGCTCTGCTGACCGATTTCTGTCCAGTCTTTCTCCGTGTACTCGAATACTACAGCGGTATTCTCTTCCTGACCACGAATCGGGTGGGGTCGATTGACGAGGCTTTCAAGTCCCGCATCCATATGAGCCTGTACTACGAACCGCTGAAGCGGAATCAGACCTTGGCCATCTTCCAGACCAATATCGACCGGCTCAAGAGAATCGAAGCCAAGAGAACAGAGCAGCCGCAGGCCGAGGAGTGGAGGGATCCGCCGCTGACGATCAACGAAGATGGCATTCTAGACTATGCCGGATGGTACTTCGATTCTTTTCCCGAGGCGCGATGGAACGGACGCCAAATTCGCAATGCGTTCCAGGTCGCTTTTTCGCTGGCTCAGTACGACACACGGAAAAGCTCCCTTGATACTTGGGGGAATGGTCCAGAGCCCGAAGACGAAGATCCCGCTATCGGCCCTGTCCTGGACTGGATCCAGTTCGAACGAGTTGCGGAGGCGATCGACCAGTTTGACAACTATCTGCAGGAGGCGACTGGGGTCACTGACCTCGATGCTGCACGGGTCGATCGCATCCGCGCTGACGATTTTGACTACCGTCGCGCCGCACCTCGTCCGCGGTATCAGCCCGTACGACTGGCTCGCGGAAGGCCCGCCGACTCGCAGCTTGCTCGTTCGGACCGCTATCGATCGAGTGTGGGCTCGAATCCACCTAGACGTCCCGCTCAAAGTTGGGGACAGATGGCAGGTCACGTCGGTCAGAGAGAAAAATTACCCGCGAATCAGGGCGGACTGTACGAGCCAGGTCATCGGCGCTATAAGCCAGGGCAAGGCGCTTCAGGAAGTCGTCCACCGCGCCGATCCCAGGCTCGAGGAGGAAACGTGGTTTCCACGGACTGGGACGACGAAGCATCGACTTATCCGGATGATCCCCAGAGGATGGAGGAAGCGGAATATAACGATGCGTCATATGGTCATGGCGATGATTTTGAGGACGATGATAGATACTAAGGATGATATATTAGAATAGACCTATCAGTTGTTTCTGTTTGATCGCAAGGTCTGATATTGAGATGGTCAGGTTGTACATGAGTATGATTGATTACCTTACTATGCCACACTAACCCAGGCAGGCGTAGCAGCAGGCTAGGACTAAGGCGGCAAAGCCGAGGTTGCCGAAGTGCAAACAACAACCGCGGCTTGGGCCCGCCCGCTTACTGTGGAGAAGAACACCGCATTAATGGAATGAACTGGCCATCTTCCTATTCATCCCTTCTCCAAACTCCATTACACTTTCCGAATCAACTCAGACTCCATCATGGCGTTACCAAAAGAATACTATCTCAGCGACTCGTGGAAGGATGGCATTTTTGGTAAGTCTCGTCAGAATCCAGCCTACGAACCTGTGCCCACTGGTCCGATCATGCAGGCTGACCATGGCTGACCCCTGATAGCGAATAAGGTCGTCTTCTGTACGGGAGGTGCGGGCACCATCTGCAGCGCACAAGTGCGTGCTCTCGTACATCTAGGCGCCAATGCCTGTATCATCGGTCGGAATGTCGAGAAGACCGAGAAGGTTGCCACAGACATTGCGACCGCCCGCCCCGGAGCCAAGGTTATCGGCATCGGAGCCGTGGATGTGCGGAAGGTTGAGAGCCTAAATGACGCCGCTAGCCGTTGTGTCAAGGAGCTGGGGGGCATCGACTATGTTATGTATGACTGACAGATATTTGTGTGTTTGTTGTGCTTTGCTGACTGACCCGGGTGAAGCGCTGGCGCAGCAGGCAACTTCCTGGCATCGATCAACCAGCTGTCAGCCAATGCTTTCAAGTCAGTCATCGACATCGATGTCCTCGGATCCTACAACACCCTAAAGGCGACACTGCCTTATTTGGTGGAGTCGGCAAAGAAGCACAGCATCGACTCGGATACACGTAAGTCTCGGAACTTCGGAGTTATCGGAGCCCCTGTTGCCGTGTCCCGCGTCGTTTAAGGCTGATAATTGTGCTTTCTAGTCAAGCCATTTCCGCTGGGGACCGGAGGTCGGATCATCTTTGTTAGCGCCACCATCCACTATAGAACCATGCCATTCCAGACCCATGTTTCGGTTGCCAAGGCCGGCGTGGACGCGCTGTCGCATAGTGTGGCTATTGAATTCGGGCCGCTGGGGGTGACTTCCAACATTATTGCCCCGGGTCCTATCGGCTCGACGGAGGTATGCTAATGCTTCGTGCTCCTTGAGTTCGGTGCTGTCTGTGGCTAACATTTGGATGAAGGGCATGGATCGTCTGCTGCCGACCGATAACAAGGAGGCCTATGTCAAGTCTCAGCCACTGGGGCGGCTGGGCTCCGTGCGCGACATTGCTGATGCCACTGTATACCTGTTTGCTGACACTGGCAGCTATGTCAGTGGCCAGACCCTTGTTGGTAAGTTTTCTGATTTAACGGAGTGGTGAGATAAGGAACTGATGGTGTGAGCTAGTCGATGGGGCATCGTGGCGCATGACAGCCGGGGGAGCTGCTCAGGGCGCTCTTCAGTATCCCGACTTTCTACTGTCCGGAGATGCGGTACCTAATGTTAAGGGGCAGAAGACGTCAAAGCTGTGATCGGATAGAGATAGACAGAGCTATCAAAGTACTGCGGGTCGTATTCGTATATATCTACATGAGGGCTGTTGCCTGGAGGGAAATACGCGCTTTCCACGGACTTAATTACTGCATCGGGGAGAACATGAAGAAGAATCATGGATAGCTGAGATAATCAACCTTGGGCGTCCGTTCTATTTCGAGCATTGTCCAGTCACGTGCAGGAATCTGACTGAAGGGGATGCGTCAGCTATGTTGGAAGAGGACTAGCGGCCAAGGACCAATGCGTCATCGGACCCATCACAGCGCTCCCCTCAGCCAACCAGCAATGGGGATTGCCCCCCGAGATTGGCCCCAGGCATCCAAGCCCCCCTCTCTCAGGCTCTCAGGCTTCCATGGCTCCTGAGTTTCAAGTGCTCAGCGGCGAAAGAGACCAAAAGCGCCGGCCGCTAAGCCATTCAATTCACCCCATCCACTCCATTCATCCAGCCTTAATTGTCTGGTCTTCCTACGACTAGTCTAGTCGCCTGCGCCGACTACGTACGACAACTGCATTTTTCCCTCTCGCCCAACACCCATCCCACCTTCTACTTTCTTCTCTTCTGCTCCTACTCTTTGTTCTTTGTCTCATCTCTATTTGTCCCAACTACTCTATCTATCGTGCTAACACGATCCGCTCCTTTCATTTCCATGTGCATGTCCTGAATCTCCCCATCCTCTCCATATCCATCCATCATGCAGCTTCGCTCGTGCCTAGTAGGGGGCACTCTCGCCCTCGGTGCCAAAGCCCTGCTGGTTATCCCCGAAGTTGAGGGCGAGTCCCTCGCCCCCGAAGCCGATTTCCCTCCCTTCCACCCTCTCGAGGCCTACGCCCCTCAGCAGTCGCAAGTTGAGCTTGCCTGCACCGAATGTCCTTTCCGTGAAGTCAGTGAGGATGGAACAGTCAGCTGGACTGATGGCCACAAAACCTCTCTTGTAAGTCACACCATCATGTGCAGAATGCCCATAGCGGGCGCTAACGACCTGGTCCCCTCTCACCAGACGCTCGACTTCTCCATCGAAGACGGCTTTCTCCTGGCCAACGGTCGCCAGATTTTCCCTCCCCCTCCTCCGACCTTGATCACCGCCGTCCAGCACCGACTCTCTGATGGTGCAGAGTCCGAGCCTATCGCCGTCGGTTACGCCGTCGAGGAGATGCCCATTCCGACCTTCCCGGAAGATCCGATGGATCTCGTGGAAGTTCGCTTCACAGTTCTCGACCTTGACAGCCACCCAGTTCCCCTCGACACTGTAGCCGTTACCCTTATCCACGACTCCAACACCGGGGAGCTGTTCATGGCGAAGACCGAGATCGAAGAAACCACCCCCGACCGCGGCTCCTGGGCGCAGTGCCGTGGCAAGCCCAAGTGCCTCCGCAAGCTTCTGTTCGACCGCATGCGCTCCTTGTTCGCCGCGGCCAAGGCCCGGATGCTCGACTTTGCCCCCAGACCCAAGGGCCATCACTGTGGGGATGCCCACAGCTTCGACCACGATCATCCCCCTCACCCTCACCACCATCACGGTGAGCACGGCCATGGAAAGCCCGACCCTGAGGGCTTCCCCGGAGGTTTTCTCCCCGAGATGGACGGGAAGGGTCATCACGGCTTTGAGGGTCACATGGGCAAGTTTGACGGCCCCCACGGTCATCACATGCACCACCACCACCATGACCGTTTGGCCCACACTCTTCACCGCGTCGTCCGCTTCATTGTCGTCCCCGCTATCCTGGGTGTTTTGGCTGGCCTGGCTGCCAGCGCACTTGGTATGTTGGTCGGTCAGATCGTCGTCTTTATGTGGCAGCGGTACCGTCGCTCTGCTCCCAAGCAGCCCGTCGAGCAGGGCACCGTGTCCGAAAAGCAGGGTCTCATGACCGAGCCCGCGGACGAGCTTCCTCCCGCTTACAGTGACGAGGAAGCCGTGCTTGAGGACGTCTCCAGCAAGCACTGATTACCGGTTTTCATGAGCTGCAGAAGACCCTCTTCCGGTTGGAACGATCGAAATCTCGTATCCCCGTAAGGCCACGATGTGATGCCGGGGGAGGACTGCAGCAAATTCTAGCAAATAGATTGATATCAACAAGTCCTCGTCGGTTGTTTTCCGTTTGCGACAGATATAACCTCCTTCGTTCAAAAACTCAATTCTCTTTCCTTCTTCGTCCTGCATGTGTGTTAGCAGTGATATTGTATTTTGTCTTCAGTCTGTCAAAGGCAGATTCTGGACTTTTAGGATGTTAGTCTTTAGTGTAGCAACTATCCTCTTCTTTTCCGAGGTGCCTCGTGTATTGTAAGCAGGAATAATTTGAATTATAGGGGGTCTTGTTCGCCTTAGTCTGCTAATTACGCTGACCTATTTTTTCATGTCTCACTTTCAGCAGTGACATGCGTCACGTGACAGTGGTTACGGAAGGCGGCCAGGAACGATCATCGCCCGGAGACCTTCCCCTCCCTCTCTCTTCCTGCTCTGCTCTTCCTCCTCCTCTTTCTCTCCAAACATCCTCATTCCGAGTCCTTCTGTCGCTCGCAGTTGAGTCTCTACACTTGAATGATGCTGCGCTGATCCTATGCCATGATTTATCTTGCCTAAATGACCACCATCGACCTTTCCTTACCCTTTTCTGGCTCCGTCCTGCTCGCCGTCTGAGCTCCAGCAGCTCCCGCATCCGCCCGCCCGCTCGCCCGTCAGCCAGCCAGCCAGCCAGCCTTATACTCTCGACTCCGACGCATTTGGAGACATCTCCTTTCTCTCTTCTATTCTACGACTACCATAAAGGAGCCTGTGTTGCTCTCCACTGACGGCATGATGCAGTGGACGTCATTCGTTCAGAAGGCCCAGTCCTTCATCGACCCGGCCAATTTTACCCTACCAACGCTCACTTCCTCCGATCGCAACCCTTCCAAGGCCTCCTTGTTTCGCCAACAATTCCGACTCCCAGACTCCCAGAACCCGTTGCAAGAGATCACCGCCGAGCTCATACTTCCTATCCCGCATACCTCCGGAGATGGTCCTCGGAACCTCGACCATGCCGGCAACCGATATGCCGGGCGACTCCACCTCAGTGAGCGGTTCCTCTGCTTCTCCACACAGGCCACGAGCTTCCACCCCTCCGCTAGTCTCACGGCCTCGACACATTGGGCCGGCCAAACCAACGGCACAGGCCCATCTGGCAATGGGTTCACCATCCCGCTGTGCTGCATCCGGCGGGTGGAACGGCTGAACAGCCTCAGCCACATCTTCTCCCTGGCGTTGACGACATGGAACGGTGCGCTGGGCAAGCAACAACCTCCGGGGTTCATCCCGCAGAGATTCACCATCCAGCTGGCTGGAAGCAGGCAGGCCTGCGAGCGATTCTGCGACGGGCTGAAGAAAGGACTCCGGGAGGGCATGAAGGAGATCGAGAATCTGCGCATAGTCGTAAACGATTGCTACTCGGAGTATCTACTCTCTGGGGCCAAGGGGAAAGCCCAGGATGGCGATGCCTCCGACGTGCGGCAGCCGCCCGACGCCGGGCTGGGGATGATCTTTCGCTATCCCGGCGATGCTCGCAAACTTCGCGACCGCAGTAAAATGCGATTGTGGGGGGAGTACTTTCGAGGTATGACTCTCCCGTGTGGAAACCGCCGTTTAAATGCCTGAGACGTATGTTGAATATGACTTCTGTAGAAAATGGTCGCAACGCGACACTCATCCGCCAGCCTACCTTCCATAAGTTGATCCGAGTTGGTTTACCGAATCGCCTCCGTGGAGAGGTTTGGGAGGTCTCGTCCGGTTCGTTATACCTCCGGTTAAGGTCGCCGAAATTATACACAGACACGTTGGCCAAATTTTCGGGGCAAGAGTCCCTGGCGATTGACGAGATCGAGAAGGACTTGAACCGTAGTCTGCCTGAGTATGCCGGCTTCCAGAGCGAGGAAGGTATCGGGCGCCTTCGACGAGTCCTTACGGCCTACAGCTGGATCAATGCAGAGATTGGATATTGCCAGGCGATGAACATCGTCGTTGCGGCTCTTCTGATGTACGCGATTTTGCCGTGTCATTGACTCTTATGACCATGAGCTAACTTTTCATTCTAGATACATGTCTGAAGCACAAGCTTTCTTTCTGCTCTCTGTACTATGCGATCGGCTTTTGCCAGGCTACTACTCGACTACGATGTACGGTACTTTGCTTGATCAGAAGGTCTTCGAGTCTCTTGTGGAAAAGACGATGCCTGTGCTATGGGAGCACCTGACCAAGTCCGACGTTCAACTTTCTGTGGTCTCTCTTCCCTGGTTCCTGTCCCTTTACATCAATTCGATGCCTCTGGTCTTCGCTTTCCGCGTTTTGGATGTCTTCTTCCTGGAAGGGCCGAAGGTCTTGTTCCAGGTCGGGCTGGCTATCCTCCGAATCAATGGCGAGGAACTTTTGGATATCCAAGACGACGGATCTTTCATCTCTGTCCTCAAGTCATATTTCTCACGCCTGGATGAGTCGGCTCACCCTAGATCAGAGAACCCCAAGCTGCGCGCGATCACTCGTTTCCAGGAATTGATGGTGGTAGCCTTCAAGGAGTTCTCTCAGATCACGCATCAGACCATTATTGAGCAGCGAGAAAAGCACAAGGACGCCGTGCTGGAGAACATTGAAAGTTTCGCCAAACGCACCTCCATCCGGAACTTGGGTCCCGACAGCAAGAAACTCAGCATGGACGACCTTGGTGCCATCTATGACCGCTACTATGAAGTCTTGTATGACAACCAGCAGAGGCAGAAGTTGCAGGAAGAAGAGAGAAGACGCCAGGAAAAGAAGAGGGTCGAAAGAACTTCCATTCTTGGGCCTCCCGTTGATCGAGAGGTCGGCCGTGTCGGTCTTGGCCCTAGCCCGACGCATATGGACTACGACGCCTTCCGGGAGTTTCTCGCCGTCACCGCGAAATGGGCCGTTTCGGATTCGCCGCGCAAGTCTTCAAGCAGCGAGCAGAGCTCCAACAGCTTCCGAGGATGGGGCAAGGCAGCTGCTTGGAATACCAAGAATCAGCCAACCGATCACGAATTCATGCAACGTCTTTACCGGAAATGGGCAACTGATCCAGAGGAGGGCATCAGCTTGCAGAACGTTGTCAACGGTCTGGCTCGGCTGAAGGGCCCTCGGGATATCATGAACAACATCCAGTACTTTTTCGATCTCTATGATGATGACGGAAATGGCACGGTTGATAGAGAAGGTATTCTTCGCATGTCCGAGGCTCTGTTATTCCTCTCCAGACGAGGCTTTGAAGGCACCATTACACCTACTCAGTCTGTTGACGACCTGAAATCGAATGATGGCGCTCGCGGTGAAGACAAGCTGAGCACCGATGAGAGATTTTTGGGAAGTGTCAGCTCCTTCATTAGGCGTTGTTTCGAGTATGCCGACCCCAGCAAGCCCGGGGCCAAGGCAGCAGAAGCCCAGCAAGACGCGGATGAAACTGCAGACAAACTAGGGTCTTTCAGTATCGGTGACGATGAAGAAGAGGACCTGCTTGATCTGGACGATGACACCAAATCCGATCACACAGCGGTTACGGAACAGCCTGCCCGGCTCGCTGCGGAAGAGAAGCGTGACTCCGAACACAATCGAACCGCTTCCGAAAGTGCTAACCCGGCTCTTGATCCTAACAACCCTCTACACATCACTCTACCCACGTTCCGCATGGTCATTCTAGCTGATGAGCTTCTGGAACAATTCTTCGACTCTTACTTCCCCCAGTCATTCCACCTCTCCGACCATGGCTCATATGCTGCCACCGCTTCGTCCCTCTCGTCCAATCTTACGACGTTCTCCAACATCAACGCCCCCAAGCCCCAGAGTAGCGCCATGTCGGCTCCCTCTGTTGGAGGCGCATCGGGTGGTATTGTTCCTCCCGGCCGAGGTCTTCGCGGCGTTCTGGACAACATCGTGTCTGATGGAATCCGCATGGCCGCCGAAGTCAAGAAGCGCATGGACGAAGCGCAGCGCGAGCTGGAACGCAACGCCCTGGGCCGCGGTGAGGAAGAAGACGAAGAGGACGAGGAAGATTACGATGGCCGCACTGGCCCCACTTCCGCCCCGTCCATTGTCGGGGGCATTTCCAGCTGGGGAGCTGGCGCGTACGGCGCTGATCCGGACCGCCGTAGCGTACGGGATGCCGATCGTGACCTTCTCGAAGGCGCCGAGGTCATCAGCATGCGCGGCAAGGACGACGCTTCCCTCCTTGACGACAAGGATGGTCACCATGACAATACCCAGCCTTCTTCGACAGCAGCAGCCCATGCACCTGACAACGTGGTCAGCAAAGTCGAATTCGAGTCGTAAATATAGACATTTCCCGAGCTAGGCTCTCTCCTCCACCCTCCTTCATCCACTCCAATTCCCTTCGTCCCCTCACAGCCCTACGGTTGTTACTCCACCTACTCCCTAGATGAATCTCTTAAAGATATTATCTGAAGATAAACAAAGATCCCTCGCTCCTACCGTACCTGTCCGGAGAGGTCGGTCATGCAATTCCAATTCCTCTTATTCCTGTTCATATCGGCTGTCGCTTAAATACCTTGCTTTTCTTAGTTGATGTGAATCCCCGAATGCATGTTCATGGGACGATGCGACCAGACAGACGGATGTCGATGGGATTGTTGATTGTATGTATCCGGCATCGTGATGTGTATGACCGTATGTATGTTTGCATGCATGTATGTATGTCTGTCTTGCTATGGAGTTTAGTGAATATGACGTATTACTCGGAGCTAGTATCTTCTACTTTTTGGCCGGTCGGATATGAAGTAGAGTCTGAAGCGTTCTGTGTGTTGGGTCGGGGTGGATGCATCGGCAAGGTCCTGCTCGCAGTATATTTCCGGGACCTACTTTCTCACTCGAGCTCCAGGAATCTACATAGTAACGATCAAACGCATCATGTACAAAGTACCACTTAGCAATTATACAGAAGCATGTCCGAATGGGGACTAATCAAATTAACCCCAGTCTGTAGTTAGCTACTGATTTCATGTTCAGAATATATATAGTATGGATGCGCCGGCCTAATTCCAGTAAACTGTTCGCTCAAAACAGCGGTCAAACCTTTGATCTCCAGACCCCAAGGGACTGACACGCGCATTCACTGGCAGTTTGAAAGGAATGTGAATATATTACCCTGAGAGTGAACCAAGAAACTATGTAGTAAATAGAGATATACAAATGTTATCACGCACGTATATTTATAACTGATTTCATCCTAGTTGCTTTGTCAGAAGGGTTGGTTTGGTTTATAAAAGTTACTTGTTGTTGTAAGTTCTGTCGGATAACATCAATAGAACCTTCACCTGGGCTTTGGTACGTAGAACATTACTCAAAGGATAGGGAAGATAAAACCAAAACCACAACTCCAACCTCCTTCCACATAACATGGAGCCTTATCGCTCGCTATCTATACTGTTAAAGAGTACAACACACCCACCATCCCGCACCCACCAAAAGACAAAAGAAATCTCCGATGCGGGGAATCGAATGCTTTAATTCTTTCAGGGACCACCAGAGCGCACAGACCAGTTAGTACAGTACAGTACAGTACGTACATGTACCCACAACTATGACGCATGCATGCATCAGCCTGGATTCTCGGAGAGTGTGATCAGTCTCTTTCTCTTATCATGGGGAGCACAGCTTGGTGGCATACTGGCCGCCAGATTATAAAGAAGCTGCCGGTTCCTCTTTGATCCCAACTTTGCTTATCCCCTGCCACACCGCCCCAAGAAGATACTTGCTATCACCGACCGTGGACGGATACATATATCCTGTCACAGATACAAGCTTGGGACACGAGTTGGTTTCGGCCCGCAGATCAAACCCGTCCCTGTGTCGGCTCGCACACACAGACCGAGAGGTCAACTTAACCTCCATGTTAGTTGCGTTCGCGTGGCTAACTTCCATCCCAGCATGGGAGACTACACGGATAAAAGTCCGGAGCATTGGACAGACTGAGCATGGTACAAAAACAACAATGGGCCATGATTAGACACGATTTCGCCCCGCGGGGAATTCTCCCAGGAAAAGGGATTCCGAGACACTCACTGGGCGAGCAGTTCCACCTTGGCGGGAAATGCTTCCACTTGGGTCCGTCTCTCGTATTGAGCCACTCACCAGAGTACTATATAAGGTGGCATGCGGGGTCTGCATGACTGCATCCCCAATTATTTCGCTTTCCCCTCCGACCCATCACTTACATATCTATAATCAGATAACTTACAACAACCACATCAGAGACAAATCTCGCCTTCTCCAGACCCATCTCCGCACCATGATTTCCGGCATCCATCACGTTAATATCCTCGTGCCCGATGGCACCTTGGACCAAGCCACCGAGTTCTACGGCGATACCCTCGGCCTGGAATCAGCCCCCGTGCCCGAGCTCCAGAAAGGCACGATCCTTTGGTGCGTCCTGACCTCACCACATGGTGCAACGCGACCCGTTTGCTGACTGAAAAAGGTTTAACCTTACCCCCGATGGAAGTCAACAGATCCACGTCAACCTGGGTCCTAACCCCGAGCTCGACTCCCGGCGACACGCCTGCCTGCGCGTCTCGTCGTTGGATGAGTTGCAGACGCTGCAGAAACGCATCCTAGCGCATCAAGAAAACGGAGGTCCCGCAGCTCCGATGGATGTAGACCGGTTGGGCATGTGCTCGGGTCCGACGGAGGAATATCCACGTCGGTTCTTTGCCCGGGATTTTGCGGGCAACCGACTCGAGTTTAGTGTTTAGACCCGTGTACGGGTGGGACGGGGATTGTTTGGGTTTGCCTTCTTTTTGTGCTTCTTTTATTGATTCTCCGATTGAGCGTGAGCAAGTGGATATTCTGTTGGTTGCGTTCTTCCGGGCTGGCCGTTCTCAATCAGTCCGCATTTCGGGACCCTGCATAGCACTGCGCGATGTGTGGAGACATGGGGGGTGGTAGGAAAAGGGTCCATGACAAGGGTTGTTGAAGAATCAAAGAAGCAACGAGTCAGTTCAAATCTCCATATTTAGTCACTAGGTAGAGTGTTATAAGCTATGATGAGTACTGTACATAGTATCTGTATCTTGTTTGAAGATGTTTTCTCTTCGAGACAACTGCAGGCAGAATCGAGGAAGATGGAAGATGGAGGAGTTGCCATCCCCTATAATCGCTGACCGCCTACCGTATCTAGCCCCGACTCCTGATCTCCGCCAATCGCTCCCTCTCTCCATTGCCAAGGCTACTCTCCGTGGCTGCCATCGCTTTCCTTTACCCTTTTCTTCTTCTCTCCTCCGTAGTTAATTCCTCCCCACCCTTCCTCCTTCTCTACTACTCCGTACTCCTCCCTCTTCTCTTCCTTATACCTGGTTCCTTACTTACCTTCTCCCTTTCCTCTCCAACGATCGCTTCCCTGTGGGATTTCGATCGCTTGGCTGTTCGGGGTATGTGAGAGGTGGTGGACGACCCTGCTTCTTTTCTCATCGTTGTCGTTGTTGTGCTGCTTGCTGCTGTTGTTGTTATTATTGTCGTTGCCGGCTCACCTCCGCATGAGGCTCGATTTGCCTATCTTTACCAGCAAGCTCCAGTAGGCGGTTGCGCCTCTCTCTCGGTCCCTGAGTCTTTCTCTCCTCTGCTCACACAGTTGCTGCTGTGATCTGGGGTGTTGTATTCTCTCCCCTGAGTGGCCGATTGTTAATCAGCGTTTCCTGCTTGCTCCCCCCTCCCCACTTGACAGCCACAACGTGGGATTTCTTTCAGCGCCGATCCACTGCAAGCTTCCTCCTTTCCTTTCCTCCGGTCGCGTGCGCTCAATTTCTCCCCCCCTCTCCCTCCACCATCTGCGTCTACTTTATCTGTCGCTCGCTTCAACCATCATGGCACACTACAAGAATGGCTATCCGATCTACGGCCAATCAACGAATTCCCCTCCGGCCTCAGCGCAGCCCGCCCGATATGACCTGTATGCCACTCAGCCCACCAGCCCACAACTCCGACGCATGCCTAGCTACAACGTGGGGGACGATGCAGCATTGCTGGCTTCTGCTCAGCCACAGAACGCCAGAGCGACCGAGGTGAATGCTCGTTATGGAGCTCAGGACCGCGAAGACCATGCAGACCCTCGATACGCGCATCTTCCTACTCCCTCCTCTCCTCAGATGTCTCGCACTCGCGCATCCTCGCAGTCCAGCTACCAATATCAATACACCTCGTCGGTCTCCGCCGCGGCATCCCCAACCCAGCTCGCGTATAACCCTCAACAGTACGCTTTGCCGCCTACTCCCTCCCAGCAGCAAGTCGGGTTCAGCCCGATCGCATACTCAGGTCCAGCCTCCCCGCAGAGCAACCCGATCGCTTCGGGCCATCAACCATACAATCCTGCTGCCTACCAGACTGCCAGTCTACACTCAGCGGCGATCCAACGACAGCCATCCTTGACATATAACCAGGCTCCTCCCACCCCGCAGACCTACGGACCTCCTCATCCACAACTCCCCCCACCACCGCCCCCTCCCCGCGGCCCGGACCATCCCTATGGAAGCAGACCAGCTGCGCAGTATGGGTTCGCCCAACAGTCCTCCTACAATGTATCCTCGCCCGCGACTTTTGCTCCTTCCGATCCTAATCCTCCTGCTTCTCCTCCGTACATAACAAGTGCCCAGCGGTCAAATTATGTCCCTCAATCCCCCCGTCGATCCGATGCCGTGATGCCTTCCGCTGTAGACGATCAACCTCCAGTGCCCCCAGCGCATTCGTCAGTGGGAGACGACATCTATGGAAAACGCGCAAGCTTGACACTCTCCAGCAGCGGAAGATCCTTGCCCACTCCACCCGTGCACCAAGTCCAGTCCCCGGTGTCACCGCGCCGCACAGATACGCTGACTCGACATCCTCAAGCTCGGCCCCTACCGGGTCCACCGGTGGATGCGGACACCGGCCTGTATGTTGATGCAGAAGATCCATCTTATCAGCTCTCTCCAGATGAGAGTCACACTCATACCAATGGGAGCATGGCCACTGGAACGGGCCAGTATGTGAATTACGACGCCTATAGTGACGATAGCGATGCGGAGGCAGCGGCAGGTCTGGCAATGTTGCAAATGGCCGATGAGGAGGACCGCGCGCAAGCCGAGCGGTTACAGGATCGTGCACGACGAGAAACCAATGCATCCATCATCAGTGCTTACGGAGCGCGATCAGACACACAGGCAACATCTCCCCTCACTGACTGGCCTCAGGATGATCAATTCTCCTACGCGGATGGTAGCTATCGCGGCACGGGAGGGTATGACGAGAATGGCTACGCTACTGATGGCTATGGTGATGATCGATTGCCAGCCACTTCAGGCTCATTGAGGGGCTCCCATCTGTCGGCAGATGATCGCGACGACTATGCGGACGACTACGATTATCCGCCCACGCTTGATTCGTCGGGATATCCTTATGCGCAGATGCCTCATCATGCCCGAGTGGATGCTGGCGGCACGGGAGGGTTGTCCGAGCCCGGGGCTTATCAGCGTCGAATGAGCTTCGATTATGGCGATGAGACCAACGGCCCGCTGGGGGAACATCAGGACCTCCAGCACTCGGAAAGCGATAGCTCCGGCCAGGGGGGCGAACCAGGGGACCTCTTCTTTCATCCCGGGATGCGGCCCCTGCCTCCAGCTCCTGTCGAACCGGCCAGCAACCCGAACCTTCGGTCTCACTTGATGCCGGCCGGAACCTATCGTCACCAAGACCAAGCGGATGTGCGGGATGCTACCCAGTATTCTCCCTCTTATTTCCCTGTTGCTCCTGATTCCTACAGCCCGGCCGTGTCCAATTCTGCTCAAGTGCCACGGTCCACATCTCTATCGAGTCATCCAATTGGACCTCGTACTGACCCCCCTATCAGATCGAAAACGGATGCAGATCGGGCCAAGTACAAGCAGCAACAGGAGTTGCTCCGGCAGCAGCAGTATGGTGCGCTCAGGTTTGACGATTCTCCCGATGCTGCTGCGGCAGCGATGGCGCTCGATCTGCCTGCCATCCCCGCTGGACGCCGCAAAAAGTTCAACCCCGCTAAGCTCTCATCGGAGCACTTCCGCCGCTGCTCGGAGCCGTGGGCGTTGAGCTCTGTCTTGTCCTGGATTCGCGAGCTCAGCGAGGAGGAGACAGACCTGAAGGAGCAGGCCATTGTGGATGCCATTGTGGCCTTGTTCACCCACAAAGTCCCTACAATGAACATGGCGGATGCTGAAACCTTGGCGGCCCGCGTGGTGAAGAACATGCTCGCCGAAGAGGCTCTTGTGAAAGACGAAGAGTGGGTCAAATTCAGTTCGGGCACGATATCCGGAGTCCTATTCCAGATCACCGGCACGGGATGCTACTCACCCCGGTTACACGAACAGGAATCAGAGGTGTTCGGCCGGTGCTACTCCCATCACTGCATGCGAACGCTGAAGAAGGTGAACTTGAAGGCGCAAATGATGGAAGCAGAGAAGAAGGCCGAAGACTGGGTCACTTTTTACAAAGTCCCTAAGGAGATTTGGGAGACATACCCAAAGAAGGAGATTGATCGCCAAAACAACCTTCATGAGATTGTAACCACCGAGGACTCGTTCATTGCTCAACTCGACGTTCTGCGAGAGCTCTACCGTGATCAACTCACTCAAATGCAGCCCACGGTGATCAAGCCCAAGCGCCTGAGCAAATTCTTGAATGATGTTTTTGGAAAGGTGGACCCAGTCAAGAAAGTCAATGAGGACTATCTTCTTGCGCAACTCAAGTACCGTCAGAAGGAACAGGGGCCATTCATTGCCGGGTTTAGCGATATTTTCCGCGAATGGATTCGAAAAGCCAGGGCCGTTTATATTGATTATGCCGCCACGTTCCCTCACGCCAATTATCTTGTTCGCAAAGAAGCGGAGGTGAATGTACCTTTCCGGCAGTTCCTCAACCAAGCCCGTGACCATAAAATGTCCAATCGTTTGAGTTGGGATACCTATCTCAAAGCTCCGATCACACGTATCCAGCGCTACACTCTGCTTTTGACCACCGTGTACAAGAACATGGTCAAAGACTCCGAAGAGAAAGCAAACCTTGCTCAGGCTATCGAGGAGATCAAGCAGGTGGCCCTGGAGTGTGATGCCAAAGTGGGCGAGATGACCAAGAAGGTCGAGCTGATCGAGCTCAGCTCTAAGCTGCAGCTTCGTCCGGAGATGAAGAAAGAAGTGGAGCTGAACCTGGAACATCTGGGTCGTCAGATCGTTTTCCGAGGAGACCTGCAGCGACCAGGCACGCGAACCCGTTTCTTGGTGGACACACATGCCATTCTCTTTGACCATTATTTGGTGCTGGCCAAAACATTTACGACTCGGGACCCGTCGAGGACGATCAAGTATGAGGGATATGATATTTCGAAGCTGCCCATTCCTATGGACCTTCTGGTCTTGGAGAGCACCAACGATGATCCCGTGGTGAAATCAGCAGTTCGTGGCGTGGCTACCATGACCCAACCGCAGGCCGTCAATCGCGGTGTAGGCGGAAACGCTTTGGCTCATACTGCTAGTGGTAACTCGGCCAGTTCTGGAAACTCAGGTTCGAGCAAAACGATGGTGCCTGCAACTGTGCTGGAAAGCTCCAAGGATGACAAGATCTTGTACCCATTCAAAATCAAGCACCTGGGAAAGAATGGAACGTACACACTGTATGCCTTCTCTTCCCAGAGCCGACAGGAATGGTGTGACAAAATTACCGTGGCGAAGACGAAACATGCCGCTGCATTGTT